CGCCGCCGTCATAGGACAATGAGATTCCGGAGAGCGTGAGAGGTCCCTTCTTCTTCTCAAGGGCGGCTGTGGTCGCGGGCGCGCCACCGCTGGGGACAACTGCTTCTGTGGATGGTTTCTTCTCTTGGACGGGAGCATGGGTTGCCTTGGAGCCAGGAGTAACTGCACCTGCTGGAGTTGCCTTCTTCTTCTCCTGCTTATCTTGTCCGAAGACATGGTCAAGGAAGACGCCCTGACTACTAACAAGACGGAAGTGAAACCCTTCAGATAGCTCCTTATCCTCAGGTCTCATCTTGAATGGCTGTTTCTTGAACATATCTGCACTTCCGTTCAGTGTAATGATGTCCTCCTGTGTGAACATGGTGTTGACCCAAAGGAACTCAAGGGCATCAAACGGTATATCCAAGTTTCCGATGATGGGTAGCTTCGATATGGAAGGTAGAGGTCCCAGAGACACGCGTATCATTCTCTTGATGGGTGAGGGCTTATCTGCCTTTCCGGTGATAGGAACTAGCTGAGAAAATTGGACGTGAAGCATGCCAAACTTGAGCTCTGCACCGAAAACGAGATGTGAGTTTGTACCATTCAGACGGGTCACCACAACGTCGAACTTGTCGTCAACAGAGCTAGATGCTTTGAACGTTGTTCCAGTGACAAAGTCTGGCAGGATGTCTAGGACTTCCTGGCCCAAGAGCTTCTGCACAGCGTCACCGAGCGTGAACTCCTTAGACGCCTTGCCAACTACTGTAGTTTCTTTATGGAGATTGGCAGTGAGAGACCAATTGTTAGCATCCTTACGCTCGAAAACTGTCTCCAGCAGAATATTAGAGATCTTGAGGTCCGCTTGAAAGCCGACCTTGGTTGGCTGGCCCTTGCCCGCCGTGATGTCGAAAGCGATGCGCTGCAGCTCAATGCTTTCAAAGATAGACATCGCATGCGTCTTCTCTTCACCTGCAGCGAACAAGGAGTGTAGAGCAGTCATGGGTATATGCGATGCATGCGCACTGAATGACACCAGGCTATCTTCTGACGAGTACGTGATCATTGCCTCCAACAACGCTGGCTGATCACCTTCCTTGAGGGGAAGAAGGGTGACGGCTCCGTCAAGAACGATATTTAGGGCCTTTGATGCGTATACGTAGTTGACAGAGAATCCTAGCATGGTGTGATCGATCTGTAGAGAGGGGATCTTTGAAGGGTCTGAGACGACTGAAGTCTCGGTTGGCTTTCCGATCAAAGCTTCAAGGCGGCCACTGACGCGCAGACTCTGATTAGAGACATAGAGATCGGCCTCGGTAATTTCAGTGGGAACGCCGAACGGCAGGTTCTGCACGAAACTACTGTCGAGGCAGCGTAGCGACATGAACGGCTCTGACGGGTCAAGATAAGAGAATTTGTCCCATCGCTCGTAGTCAAGATAGTACTGCAGTGGAGGGTTGCCCTGTCCCAATACGTTTCCAACACCGCTGAACTCACACTCGCCTGAGAACTCGCCAGTGCCCTTGGTCCAGGTGAACTCCATAGTGAAGACTGAATGCTTGTCCTTCGGTACAAGTACTTGCATTGAAGCTTCGAGCTCCAAGCGCATACCGGCCAGAGTTGTACCACCAGCCTCGTTGTTCTGAAGTGTGACGGTGACTCTTCTCCAGTAAATGTGAGACGTACTGGCATTCTGAGTCTTGGATCCGTGACCAGTATTGGCAAGAATCTTCTCCAAATCGTCAATGGCATTGCCCACTTCATTACAGGTCTTCTTGACCCAGGCCTTAAGAGCTGCCCACTGAAGCACTTTGGAGTAGCACACAAAAAAGACATTGATATGATCTTCTCCGATCGACACATACATACCCATCGCACGCTTCTCACCATTAAAGTCTGGCTCTGCAGCGATGATGAGCTCTCCCACTGTGAAGGCATCTCCCCAAGGACCAGATGATGGAGACACAGTCCTCTTAGCAATGACGGACATGGGAGGGATGTGGTCGTCCCAGCCAGAGAGATATTTGTCCAGTTTCTTGACTATTCCTTCTCTGAGGTCGAGGGAGGCTTCGAGGCGGATACAGCATCCAGATCCTGATCCGGGGATGTACCACATTGCGTTGCGAGCTGGAGTACCAGCTAAGCCACCAAATGTGATCTTGGTCCCTTTAAGCAATGTCTTGAGCCAGGTCTTGGGGTTTATGTGAGCGACTGCACAAAGATCGGCAAGATTCTCGAATCCACCGTTGGCAGAACTGATCTCTAAGCCCAGAAGGAGATGGCCCGGGTACCGATCAATACCAGTACGAGTGGTGATACTACTATCTTTTGATACATTGGTAAACCCAGTTTCAAACTCTTCGTTGAGCACTTTGGCATCGGTAGAGAACACAAGCGGAGCGCTATTATCTTTGGAGACCTTGACCTTGAGACCGGTCAATTCGAGAGATTTGCCATCCGAGCCAAGTTTCAAGTTGACATCAGCACTCTGAAGGTAAGATGCATTTTCGTCAAGTTTCCAAGCTGCGCTAAAGTCTCGTCTCAGAGGATCGCTCAACGACAGCTTAAATTCGCTTATATTAGTCTTGATTGCTTCCAAGGAAGTCTCAAAGAGTATGGGTCCTGACGAAGTCAGAAACGCTTGAGTGCCGGTGTCTGGGGTTGAGAAGACGATGTGATCAGATGGAACGGTACCAGCGCTGATACCTGGTGTTGCACTGCGGATCTGAGTCGTTTGGCCGGTTGCTGCGAGCATGTACTGGTCTTTGAGGGGCATAAGTTGTTGCGGAGGGGAAGGGAAGCTTGGGGCGGTTGTAGCTGGGTTCGTAATGGGCGCCACGGCTGAACCGCCAGGGACTGAGGGTGGTGGGAGGACCTTTGGCTCACTCGACGTTGGAGGAGCCACAGGTAGAGTTGCAACATCTCCAGCATGGGTAGGTTGCTGGATAGCCGGTCCTGATTGCACGGGCCCATCAGGCTTTTCAGGCTTTGGGGCAGATATGACTGCAGTCCCAGGTCCGGCGACGGTTCCTGGTGCCACAGGGCCAGCAGAAGGTGTTGTCAACCTTGGATCTGTTGTCGTAACTGGAGGCGACACTCCACCTGGCATCTGGATGTTACCTGGCGTTGGGGCTGTGGTAGGCAAGCTGGTTGATGGGCTACCAGAACCAATCCCCCCAGTCTTGTCACCTCCAGTCTGTCCCGGAAGTACAGGTACATCTCCTACAGAAGGCGGGGATGATCCAGTAGCCGTCTGTGTACCCGACGATGCATAACGAGAGCCTCCAGATGGGGCTCGAGGCCGCTTGTCAACATCGCCAACCCTTCCTATCACCGGCCGACCATGACCGAGTGATCGTCTACCCGGTTTGGCACGATGCGGAACGTCACCACGCGGTTCGTCATCTTCCAACCATTTCTTAACTTGGCGATGCCTGTGGCGCTGGCGATTGTTATGCCCGGAATGGTCATCAAAATCGGCATCTAATGAGGCCTGGTCCTGTTTACGCTTGACTGTAGAGCGTGTCCAGTCCCTCTCTCCAAAGAAACGCCCAGGAGTGCTCACGACTCTAATACCGCCAGCAGCCTCTGCTTGTGTGTTCTCATCAGAGTCTGAGCTCTTTGAAGTTATAGACTAATCATCCTCAATTAACTTTATGTTTGCGACTTTGGAATGAGTTAACTTACACGAGTTTTGAGCGTGACTAGCCTTCCAGGCTTGTTGAGCAAGCTGCCTCGCCCAACTAATGTCGAAGCAATAAGCTCATCAGCGCTGAACACAAATGTCTTGTCTACCAGTGTTCCTTGCTGATCTGGTAGTGACGGCGGCCATTTGTCACTGGCCGATCGTCTTCCATGAACGTGGTGGGCCATTGTATCTTCGCCAAAGCTGTGATGCTCGGGATGAGCATTCGTCTGCTATGAAAGAGAATTAGATCAGAAACACGCCAGGCCGATATTACAGTCTGCTACTCGGGGAGTTGCATGAGATGAATGAGCAGCTGCTCAATCGCACGCAGGCCGAGTATAATCCATGCTGATCAGGCCGGACAACCCCAGACTACAAGCTTTTTCGGATACAGCATTCAGCCATGGCCTAGAACACTAACTTCGCCCCTTCTCTATCCCTGCTCGTGTAAGTCACTTAAACGGCATCAAGGTTTCAATTGCTCAGGCGCGAGAGAGCCAATACTCACCAATCGGCATATGCAGCTTTCTTCCCGCCATCACATATTATTCGAGACATGCAGCAACTAGCTCCAATTGCAAGGCCGGAGTTTCCGCCATTTGATAAGTCAATGCGTGAATCGATAGTCTACGGGAGCGGGCGCTTGCGTATAGCATCAGCCGTTGGTTCATGTCATGGCGTTGAGATGTTCTCGCGATGTGGGCGTCGGTACGGCCCTCAGGGGAGCTACATGATAGGGCGGCGTAAACGAGCGCTGAGGCTAGTCTGCTCTTCTTCTAGCCTAGACGCAACGAAACTATCGAAAGGAGCATATTCCACGTGGAGGGCAAGGCCATTTTAGGATAGCAAAAGGAGAGCTGAGCTTTAGCTGCATGCAGGGTCTCGAACCATTTTCTCCGGGGCGTGCGAGACAAGCTTTTAGGGGTTTGGCGTCGAGACCATTGACTTTACAGGGGTATGCACCCTAAGCTCATTGTGTAAGGGCCCTGTGAGAATTTTCGGGGCTCAATTAGAGCTGGGGCTGATCTTGGCTAGGCCATCTACCCTAGGCTGCCTCTCATAAGATACTGAGGTGCTTCTATGCTGAATGAGCAGCCACCGAGGTGAGTAAAGAAGCTGAGGTCTATGGGAAAATACTGGAGATAAAGATCTCTGTAAAGTTTTATCCTGTTATGCTGTAACAATTGAGCGATTCGTGGTAATAGTGACTTTGAGATATTTTGATAAGATGTAGGGCTCAAGCTTGCATGTTCGTCCTGTCCCTTAACTTATGGAACATGAAAAATTGTGATTGTTTTAATCCAAACATAACAAGGTACTTCAATTGAGATAGCTTCAGTAATGACCTCCGAATAAATATTGAATATGTACGAAATACCCCAGATTATTCCTTGCGCAGCATCCATGAATCCATAACATCGGTCGTAGTTAACACAGAAACTTCCTTACCATCAGCATTCTTACTTTTCTGCCACCTCCCATAAATCTCCTTCGTCTTAATTTCAACATCGTTTCCTACAACACCATTAACAGTCGCCCTCACCAGCATAAAACTAGCATCCAAGCCATCTGAAAATACAGCACCCCCTCCAGTTGTCCCACGAGGCTTCAAATGAACCACCAATTCAGCAGCCGACTCTTTCGTAGCCGCTCTATGTGTCGTAGCCGCGATCCACTGCTGTCGTGGCCCAATGGCGCGTACGGTAGGTAACGGCGCCAGATGGTCAAGAAGATGGGATGCATCTTCTCCAATGGGGATGGTGACTTCGATGGCAAATACTTCTGTTCCAGCTGGGAGATTATTGGGCGCAGTGCTGGCTTTGATAGAGAAGACGATGTGTTGAGGCGTGTTGGACTGCGCTGGTATGCTGCGGCCTGGGGAATCTTGAGAAAAGGCCAGTTTTGAGAACCATGACTTGTTGGCTTCTATGTTCTCAGGCAAATGATTAATTGCCGGGTCGCGAGTATCTTCTTCAGGCACAGTCTGCTCAGGGAGGATACTTCGAGGCAGGCTCTCTTTGCCAGCCGTCACGTTGAAGGTGAGTGTCACACAGTGATCACTCTCCAGTAACTGCGTCGCGATGTACACCGCTTTCGAGTCTGGTTTTGGCTTGGCCCAGACCCGCTCTTTGTTCTGATCAATGAAGTGGTCCATCATATTGACCACGAGATGAGGAGTGAGGATACCGGTGTCGTGATTCCAGATGGGCTTGATGGGGAAACCAGAAGGACTGATGACGCCCGTCCTACTCCACTCGATTTTCTTTTCCACTTCAGCTTGTGGCAAAGCGTTTTTGAACTTGTCCGTCATCGTCAAGAATGGCTTCATCTCGCAGGTGAATTCCATAGAATCCTTCTTGACATCTCCCAAACTGTAGCGTTGTTGATGTGGCGGTAGCTTAAGCTGGACCTTGTAGTCTACCAACTTTTGTCCCTGGCCTCTTGCGACAAGGCAGAGGATCATGTCCTCGTTACGTGTTCGGTACGCGCAGCTCAGAGGAGTGGGGTCGTTTGAGCCTGGTAGCTTGGTAGTGATGTTCATCTCGAGATCGGGAAAAGACTCCACGATACCACTGCGGACGATGAAGCCCGAGCCACCGATTTGTACACGATCGGCTGGCGCCTTTCCCAGATACAAATTGAAAGCCCAGCGAATGAGATCGCGGACAGGATCACTACCTCCTCCCATAGTGTTGGCCAGACTCATCGCACCATCGACCAAAGCATCGATCCAAGTATCATCGACGAGAAAACAGTTGACGCTTTCTTTCTCAAGGACAGCTGGGTCTGGGAATAGATACGTCGCTGGGACTAGCTTTAGAGACATGAGATTGTCGATGAGCCAATTGAACACGAGACCCAACTGAGGAATTGAAGAAACGACGGGCTTAGCCTGGCATAGTTCCAGAGTCTTATCTTCAAGCCAGGGCTTGGCTGCACTTTCAAGATGTCTGCGCAGTTTCTCGAAGGTCATCACGCCTGGCGCTGCGGCCATGGATGTCGCTGGAGGAGAAGGGACTTGCCATCTTAGATCTCCATCTCTCGGCAGACCCTTCATCTTTGCCGCCACAGAGCCCTTGAAAAGCCCATCAAGTTTCGACAACGCGCTGGCAACAACGTCGTCCGCCTTGTGCATGAGTTTTGCAGCCTCATCCTCTGCCTCCTTAGACTTCGTGGCAGCTCCCTCATTCTCTGCGAACTTGGACTTGGTTACGGCTTTCATGCACAGCTTTCGACGGAGGTAGGCAATGGCCGTTGAAAACTTGGCGTCGCGACCTGCCAGTGTTCGACCCAGCTCCCAGGCCGTATTGTACGAGATGTCGAGAATTCTCGCTGACGTGTCAATGATTTGCAGGTCAGTTCCGTGTACACTAGACTTGATGCGCGCTTTGCGCGATGACTTAGGGATAAGCGGTCCTCGGTACAGCGCCATGGATGATTCACCGGCAATGTCGCGATGACGGACGATAGTGTATCCCTCTGTGACCCTTCGACGGACCCATGCAGCCGACGGATCGTCTGGACTATTGGGATCTGTTGCCTTAAGCTTGATCGCCAGCGGGCGTATGCTTTTATCATCAGCGAGATTCTTGAACATCTCAAGAGAGTGATCCGCATTGTTCTTCTCCCAGGTGAATGTCCAGGAAAACAGAGAAACAAGTGCAACTGTTGCTGAGGCCTCACTCGCAGCTCTCCAGTCGATGCGACTGCCTAAGGTCTCAATTGAGACGATGTGCGCATATACTTTGACAGGCTCTCCACCTAGGGTATAAGGACGTGCTCGATGACCGATAAGCGTGCTGAGTTTGTTCGTAACATGACCGCTCTCGTCCTTGACACTGCTATCTGTCATGTACGTGAGGAGTTTATAGCGGTCCAACTCCGGCCCAGCTTGTTGTCCCGTCTTGCCTGTTGAGTCTTGACGCTCAAAATACATCTTGAAAGCGCTGCTCTTGACAAACAGGAAATCAGCAGTAGCAGGTGATCCATCACCTTTGACCGGAACATCAGCGTCGGAATAGTTCTCCTTGTGACACCACTTTGAGCGATTGCTGTTGAAAAGACTCAAAGGAAGCGTAAAAGATCTAGTACCCGAGGGCTTCGCAGCGCTGGTCACCTCCGGAGGCACGCACAGATCCTCGTCTGTAAAGAGAAGCAAAGCAATCCATGGCGTTGGCGCGGTGCCTGGATCATACGTTTGCGACCGTTCCCAAGGTGTAGCTCCTTTGAGAACGACATGAGGAAGCGTCGTTGCACTCACGGTGCGCAAGTTTGGCGGATAGAATGAGTGAACGAGGTCTGGTGCTATGGCATACGGTTGACATGCCTTGACTGTGACGGGTTGTGTCGATACCAGCTTCTCAGTGTCATCGCCTGCCTTGACATCTTGAGTAGTGATGATCTCGTATTCTCCCGGAGGCATGGGAGGGATCTCATATGCATAGAGACGAGCTTTTGCGTCAGCATTGTCGTAAGCAGTTGAACTGCTGGACGATGCCGTCGCGATTGGCTTCGTATTAGACATACTGCCGGTTCACCTGAGAGAGATGGTGATGGTACAAATGGCAGTAAAATGTTCAATGAAAGCCCGTTGGCCAGGCTCAACTGCAGAATCGATTGAGGTGCCTTTGATAGAGAATGAGTATGAAGGCTTCACGACACAGGGCATCGAGAGCTTACACGAAGCAGACCTCTCAATGGCAATCAACTTCTCCATGGTGCCAATCTCACCAAGGAATGTGTAATTCTTGACAGACGATTTGTGTCTAGACTCAAGCCCATGTTCACTGCATCTATACCCCTGCCAAGCGGAACATAGCTGAGATTCTCAGAACGTGAGACCTGCATCAAAACTATCGAAATAGTAAATCACGCGCCTGGGGAACTTGCCCGTTTAGAACCTCAGCGGATACGGCGTTCCCGTTTCAGTTGAGCAACACTTGTCGGAGGCAAATCGATGCATACGCCCTCAGCTAGTGATTGGAGCTAGGCGTTTCTTAGCGAGCGTCCCAGCTCCCGGGCCGCTAGTGGCCGTTCAGCCAGCCGCTATAAGGGGAAATAGGGAGACGCTAACCAGGCATTTGGTGGTGTGTGCCGTTCTTCCCGTAGGCCTCTGGGGGGAATGTTCCGTCGAGGAGGAGAAGTACACCGTGTGTTACGCACTGTTCATTGACTTGGGGACTAGACCCTGAAAGAGTGGTTGGTAATTGGGCCTCGGCCTGTGTGTCTCGGTCGCGTATCGTAAGCTGAATGAACCCTAGCTACAGTAGCATCTTACGAGAATTGCTTCCGTGCTATTAGATACTAGCGATGGCTAGAACAGGCAGGGTATCTTGTGCTGCGCATCGGATTGCCAGTGAGGTATGTAGAAGCACGAGGTCGAATTCTCGCAAGTTAGTTGATCATAGCGGCCATCTTCACTATCACCAACATACGACCAAATCACTACCCCTTCTCCATCAAGTTCGTTGACGCATACTTCCACAATGACAACGGTGATGGCTTCTAAATCTGCAGCAATCGACCCAGCAGATGTGTCGGAAGATGAGCAAGAAACTCCAATTTACTTGGAGACACCATCTGCTCCCAAACCACAAAAACCCATCAAGAAGGCCACAGACATTGATTGCTGGTCCATGAACCTCGATGCCTTCATTCTCAATAAGCACATCTTCAACAAAGAGCACTTTATCGCGCCACTAAACAGACCCGACAATTCGTCATTTCTGTCTGGGGAGTTCTCAGCGCCAGATGCGATCCCTAATGTTGACATTGACGGAGCGTATCCATGGTATTCAAACTCTCGAATTGCGGATATCACACAGACACCGCAAGTTGACGAGGAGGGTAAAAATATCTATGATCGCATGCTGCGTAATGATAGATTGGGCGTCTATCTACATTGGACGCTGCCGCAGCATTTCCGCAATGGAAAAACAAAGGATACTGACGATGAAAAGGCTGGAGATGTCGCAGTAAGTGCACCACATTGCGGTACCAGAACAGCATGACTGATCAAAGAAAGCAAACACATATACCAGATCGTTGGATAGTCTTCAGATGCATCACAGAAGCCTCTGAAGCTGGCGCTCCCGCACTGGCGGCCTTCATCGTTGAAAGCAATCGCATCCGCCATTTTGGCGGTCACTTTGACCCTTCCACAGACGACACTTTTGATGTTGAGACGGAAGCTTCTCCGTTCATCGACAAGGATGTCTCAGTGGAAAAGCAGGTCGATGTGTTTATGGGCATGAGGCGCAAGTTCGACGATGATTGGAATGATCCCGATCCTAATGGCCTTTACCACTCGCCATTAACATTGCTGGACTCTGCAAACCCTCTGTTCGCAGACTTTCAGCATCACAACTCAAACATCTTCTCCATTCACGACGATGTCTCATGGAAAAACAGTGCGGGCCAGATTATCCGGCCTGCGTCTGCGACTATCTCGTACGCTGTATTTGGCTATCATTCAACGTTTCATTCGGAGCACGACGAGAAGAAGTCCATTACCCACGGCGCCATGTATAATGTGAGGTGGACCAGAGATGAAGCGCCTAAAAACTCCGAGGCGCTCAATATTGCGAGAAATGTCAGCGGCAGCCAGCCTATAGCTATAGGATCAGACTCGCTGGAAGCGCTTGAAGCATACCTTCATTCTTTACCAGAGGAGACGATCCATGTGGAAAAGACGGCAGCCAATCAGAGCCAGGAGACCAAGCGCTGGAGCAACAATGACTGGATTGCGCTCATTGACGAGATGAAGATGGCAATCGGACAATCTGGCCAAGGTGGACTACTCGACTCCCACGTACCGCAGAACCTCAGAGCTGGTTTCAAGCCTACAGATGGAGGCAAAAAATGGCGCTTCAACAATGAGAATGTGTCTGCCAAGGGTAACGACCAGTCCGTTGATCCCAATAAGATGCAAGATTTGCATGTTCCTACCGAAAAGGAGATGCAAGCCTTGCTCAAAGCGGATAGATTCCAGGCATACATAGATGCTCTGGACCGTCAAGAAGGATATCTTCGCCATCGGCTCTTTTGTGAGTGGTGGAAGCGTCGTGCTCGTGTGACGGGAGGCAGATGGAGAGATCCTCTAGTTCGCGCAGAATGTAGCAGGAGAATTCAGGATGATCTTGCGGCTTTGAAGATTGTCAAAGAGTTGCGCCAGAGGTACAGTCAGGATAAAGTGCCTGCCGATCTGGAAAAGATGCATGCCACTGCTAGATCGGAGTTCTTCAGCCGCACGTCTCCTTCTATCGTCATGGGAGGACTTGGTACAGCGTGGCCCTCAGAGTTCCTCGTCAAAGAGAACAATAAGGCCAGACCGCTGAGTTCGCTTCCGTTTACTGGCAAACAGGGAGCAGAACTGGTACAGCAATGGCTAAAGGAACTGGTGGGAGCCAAGTCAGGCGATGCGAATCACCAGCTGTGCATGGTCCACGGCATGAAGCTCTTCTTCCAGAACCCAGAACTGGTAGAGAAGATCGTCGATGCGCAAAAGTCAAACAATGGCCTCATGCGACTTCCAGCCTTGTTTGAGTCTCTTGACAGCCTCAACGCTCTCAACTACACAGCACCAGGCTGGGTCCGTGTTGGAGTTGATGCGTTGATGCAGGAGTGGGCATATGCCTTGAGCATCGGCGACCCAGAGAAGATGAAAGAGCCCAGGCCTGCTTACTACAACAAAGCCGACACTCACTGGAATGATACGCAGCCATGTCGCGTATTGTTTCTAGAGTGGGAGGTTGAGTACTACCATCTGCCTAAGCGATTCTGGACGCTGCAAAGGTTAAGTGATGGTACGGCCGACTATAGAATCGCGCCTGGCGTCAACATCTCTTCGTTTGACATGATGGATCTCCACAAACGTACTGTCTCAGGACGAAGTATTCTGCGTCCCAATGCCGAGTGGGCGATGACAACGCTGGCACAACAGCTGCTAGACAAACTAGATGACGAGTCTCTCAAGAAGGCACGCCTAGCAGGTGGAAAAAAGGAGATTCTTGCTCGGCTAGAGAAGTCCCTCAAGAGCCTCAATCTTGTATCCGGAAATCTTGATGGATTCACGGATCAGCTTCTCACTCTTCATGGAGGCATTCATGTATCGCCATACGAATCCGAGACGCATCCTCCGCGCAACGACAAAGAAAAATCACTTCTCAAAGCGCTTCTTGAGTCAGAGAATGGCCACGACGTTACTCCATTCGGAGAAGACGTCTGCTCTATTGATAAGGCAGAGCGGGACTTTAAGCCTGTTACTCACGGCCAAGCACGCTTCACAAAGTTCAATATCGTCGACAAATTCGGCCAAGTCGTCTCACCAATCCACACACCAGACGTCACCAACAAGACCCAGCCTCTATATCCCTGCCTCGGTCGCACAATTGCATGCCAACCGAATGAAGCAGAAGGCGGAGGCTTCGCCAACAGCGTTGAACTAGACAAGGAGCACTGCTCACAATTCTTCCAGCTTGGTCATCGCATCAATCAAGACGCGCGACTCAACGTCCAGTTCGTCGTAAACTCCGCCGACGTCGACGCGCACCATGAGACAACGCAGTTTTTCCGTGGTGATTACGAGGCAGGTCGCGGTCAGAGACATCATGTTTGGCGTCCTACCACAGAGTACGAGGATCCTGTCTGGGGCTGGCTTATGCTTGACTTTCGCACAATGGGCATCCAAGTCTACAACGCCGCGGGTGAAAGTATGGGCGAAGCATTGGTACCGGACAACATCCATGGCAAGGCATATTGGCAGGTTCACTACGCCGAGGGCGACATGTCTGAAGCAGCGAATGAGTCCTCACAGCTCCAACAGCTCATGAAGCGCATGTCTGATGCCAAGTTCCTCGTTGGCCTATGGGCGATGCTTTCTGATGCGTGTCAGAATATTTACAACGATCCTTTGACTGGTGATGCGCAGATGCTCAATATGGTGGGCCGTCCGCTTGCGCTCGTCAACATTGGCATGAACCTTGAGCTTGCTACACCTGTCATGCAGTCGCAGAGCTACCAGGACTTGTTGAAGAAGGAGGAAATCAAGCTTGACGAGTACAAATTTGAGGTCCTTCTTGGTGACAAGTCAAATCTGCGCGATGGACTCATCGGCTACTTTCCTCCATCGCCAGAGCCATCTACGCCAGTCCAGCTCGCTCCCATCCCACAGCCTCAAGACCGCGTCAAAGACAAAGTCCCCGATGTCAATTGCGTCTACACCGAGTTCGGTTATCCAGGACGTAACATCGTCGCGGGTGATAACCAGAAACCAGACTCTTTCGCCTCGCCCAGCTCGAGCAAAGTCTACCTTTCACCTTTGCATGTTGATCCCTCCAAATGCACACCTGATCCCGCGAAAGACTACGACGCAGCTGCAGCTTACCATCGCGGCATCTGGAATCATCCTTCAACCGTTGTTCTTGGCGCTATCGTCGACCCTTACCAACCCGTTCATATCGCCACGGGTATTCTACCATCAACAACACTGAAGCTTCCCCAGTGGATCATTGACCAGACTCTCAAGAAGCTACGCATCCTCTTGCGCGGTGGGCCTGTCCTCACAAGATCAGACCTTCCAGGTATCGACACCAGTCTCGATTCATGGAAGAAACCTATGAACCAGACCACCGCTGAGGCATGCATTCCCGCCCTCACCGATAAGGGCGAGTGGTCATGGCTACAGCCTAATCTGGCGGCGTATACCTTGCCTGGAGATGATGATGAGTACCTACCTCAGTTCGTTCCGTACAACTTGAAGTCGGCGCCTTCAGACTATCCCTTGGAGATGGGTCCGCATACGATACTCGAGGGTTTCTACAAGTTCGAGCTGTCTCAGATGAAGCCAAATGCAGAGCTGAGAGCAGGTAATCCAGCGGAGGGTGGTGACGCAAAGCAACAGAAGGAAATGAAGAAGTAATTGGGATGTAGTACAAGGTGAACTGCGATCGCCTGGCTACGTTTCCATTCGCCTGTACATAAGTGTTTCTTTGTCTATCGGGTGCTGGTCTTTAGTTACGTAGTTTCTCTTGATACAATACCACAATGTATATTTCAAACGTCATCCATATGGCTAGCTCTGACTCGGCTACCTTAGATCCAGGCGTGAGTATGAAGACAATTATTTGTTATGGAGCTCGTTCTTCAGAAGTACTTGAATGCCTCCTAGTTCCGTGTACCACCGTAAGGTCCGTCACTCTATGTCCCACAAATTTCTACCTCATCGCTTGAGCCCATGCCTCTGAAACCAATTCTGATGATGCTCCTCCTCCCACCTTTTCTCCGCCCTCCTCAACGTCGCCGAAACATCCCAGAAATCCCTCCTCTGCGCCACATCCCTCGCCGTCCTCCCCTTATTGTCCTTGATTGTCGGATCCGCCTTCCAATCTCTCAACACCCTAATAACCTCCCTCTTCTCATCATCACCATCCTCCGCAACACTAGCAGCATAGTGCAACGGCGTACGTCCATCCGTTGTACGAGCGTTAGGATCAGCGTGAGCGTCATCTACCAGTAGTTCTACGAGTGCCGCGGATGCGTAGCGCGCTGCGAGGTGGAGGGGTGTGCGGCCCCCGTTGGCGCGCGCGTTGGGGTTGGCGGAGGAGTCGAGGAGGAGCATTGCTATTGCGAGGTGGTCGCGTTCAGCGGCGAGGTGGAGGGGTGTGAAGCCGTTTTGATCGCGGGTTGAGGGGGAGGCGTGGCGGAGGGCGTTGGTGCAGGCTTGGATATCGCCACTCCATGCGGCGTCGAGGAGAAGTTCTTCGGGGTCTTCTGCAGGTGCTGGTGGCTTTGGGGGTTTGGCTTCAACTGGAGTGGGTTGCGCGGGCTTGATGCCTGTGGGTTCTTCTTTCTTCAATGGCACCTCTGTTGGCTGTGCAGGTTCGGCTTTGGGTGATGGTGTTGGAAGATCGGCTAGGTCATCGTCAACCTTGAGCTTCACACCCTTAGGAGACTCTGGAGTAGCTTCATCGGTAGTATTCTGAGCCTCAGGTCTACCGCCGCCCTTCTCAGGCTCTTCGGGCTTCTCGTCCGGCGCAGCATCTTTAGTAGTCTCAATTTTGGGTTCAGTTGAGACATCGGAGGGTGTCGACCTTGCAATATCTTCATCAACCGACTTCCGATATCGTCCCACGGGAGGAGGATCAAGGTCAATTGATCCCGCCCTTGACTTTGGCTGCGGCTGCGCTGTACTCGACCGTCGCGCATCGGCAGAATCCGAAGACTGCCCAGGGGCAGGCGGTGGTACTGGATTGTCGAAGCCGGGTGGAGCGGGCTTCATTAGAGCACGTCTGGGCTTACTGTTAGCTGAGCACCTGTGGAAGGGGGCTTGCGACTTACGAGTAAATGTTGACCATGAGCTTGCTTAGAGCAGCCAATTGCTTTTCAAGTTCACCATCAGCCAGCTTGATCTTCTCCTCCCACTCATCCTTATACTTGTAGGAGTTATAAAACTCCTCAAGGCCACCAAACATCGTCCCTTCTAACCCATCACTGCTAATCTCTTGAAGGAGCTTCGTCATTTCGTCCAGTGCGGCTGTCGCATTCCTGATCGCTTCATCGATCTGCCTCCGCATGGGCTTCGCATCATCTCCCTCGATGATGTCAGGTCGTGCTTCCAATGTGTTCTGGATCTGAGTGATTGTGTCTCTTGCTGTTGTCGCTTTTGCCGACAGTTCATGGATCTCCTCGGGGGTCTTTTGAAGCTTCATGAACCAATCTGTCCATTCTTTGGCCGTGTCGGCGTGCTTACCCAGCGCTTCGATGCCAGCGTAGGCAGCGACGGCTTGAGGGAAATGCTTCATGAAGTCAAAGCCCTTCTTCTTGGGCTCCTTCTCAACGGGCTTCTCGGCTGGTTTGGCTTCCTGTTGCTCTGGAGACTTGACAGAGTGCCTTCGAGAGGAAGGCTGTGAATTCCCAGCACCGGAATAGCTTGGTCTTCTGCCGTTACCCACCGTTTCATGCCTTTCATGAGAACGAAGTGGTGAATCTCCCCTTGATCGAGGTCGTCCTCGTAGCATGTCTGCAGCCAAGTGAGGTGCTGGCCTGTACACTGACGGCGGCGATCTCTTCCCAGCTCCAAGAGGACGCCTTGGTGACGGCGGCGGCTCATAGGATGGACGTCTTCTCGGATCTGGTCGTGAGCTGTCCGTCGGGTAAGACCTCATAGGCGGACGTGCGACCGCAGGCTTTGGAGAGCGCGGGAACGGTGGTGTTTCTGTTCCATGAGGTCGAGGCTTTTGACGACGCTCTGGAGTCGGAGATCTGCGACGGGATGTAGGTCTACTCTCATCTTCTGACATCCAGTCCGAATCTCTCGTCATGCGTCGTCTCAGCGCTCGCTGCACAGGCGCTGGTGGAGGCGGTCTCGCTTGAGGCGACACAGACCTGAAGCCTGAGTCCCGACGCCTTGGTCGCTCATAGTAAGATTGCCTTGGACTCGATGAAGGGGGATACCGTGGACGCCGACTTTCGGCTTCATAAGATCTTGATCTTTGTGCAGCGCCTACACCCGGTGGAGGTCTCAACGGTCCCTCATTTTTTATCGTTGGTAGCGGATGACTTGGCGGGGGTCTTGAGTAAGACGCGCTCGGCGTTCTAAGAGGCGGTCTTTTCGGCGCAGGCGCTGGTGCAGGCTGAGGTTTCGGTCTCGTAGACGACCTAAGTGACGGAGCTTTCTTCGGCATTTTTCTCACAATAAATGTGCCAAATCTCACTCGCACTTTACAAATAAAGCTCAGGTACAAGCCTCTTCTTAAGAAGATGCAGATAAGCTAGCGGGATAATTCGCAAGATAAAACAGGCCCAAGGGACCGGCATGACGCCATGGCATGCATGTCACAGGCCCTGTAGAAATCCGGGGCATAGAATTAATTGGCTCTGAAACGAAAGACAGGGTGAGCAGTGTGACGTGTCTGCTGATCCACCCTAGACCGGGGGATGATCAGAGACCCTTTTTGAGCGGGCCGTGACGGGTACCAAGGAAGATGGACTGGGGATCGATGTACAATTATATCATGCTAATCTTTACGAGACTGTGGTTGGATTATTTAACTGTAACTATTTCAGCAGGCATATTGTAGGGCCTTGATCTAAAGATCTTGCAGATGCAGTGTAACTCTTGATATAAGAAACAAATCTGAATACGTCTGTGGCTGTGTTTGCTTGCCTGTCGCATGATGGCTGGCCTCATTCAACATAGCTGTGTTGCCTGCCGCTGGGTTATATCACATGATGCGCGAGTTAAAACTGTATGATTGATGCCTAATCCTGGTGAGATGAAGCTAGTCATGTAGCATGATTGTCAGCTGCCAAGATCACAATCCTGGTACACGAATAGACTTATTCTAGGCAGGAGATCGTCTGAGGCATATTTTAGCAAAAGTGTAACAATTGTGGAAGTGGAGAGCCTGTTCTATTGTTGCTATAATTAATATTGTGAACCTCATCAAGAAGATGGGGGGGGGGGGGGGGGGGGGGGAAGCTATATCGGGGGACTCATCCGAGCCCATACACCCATCAAGTCAGCCCTAAAAGCCGCTGCAACAGGAAATGTCCGCTCAACCACCAACAAGTTCTGCATGATACAATCCTGCTGCCAACCCTGCCAAGACCGTGCACCAGCAACCCGCAGTGGAAAGAGCACCAATAACGGAGAGATGGAAGAATTATGCAAAACACTATTCGTATGCGTCAATATGTTGATGACATGCATTTGTATCTCTTCTTCGCTCAAGTTGGGCGCCACAATCCCCATGTCTTGCCAATATGGAATTTCGTAGTCGAAGACTCCGGAGAGGTAGATACTTGTGGCTGCGAAGAATGTTTTGGTCAAGGATGAGAAGTTTCCACTTGCATTCTCAGCAGTCAGCTGTTTTGGGGGTACGCCTTTGGCTTCCCAGTCGACGAGAGCTTGTCTTAGCCGGAAGCCTTCTTGAGCAACGTCAAAAGCTTCGTCGAGATGTTTTGGGAGACCAACATTATCTGCGTCCGAGTAGTAGATAAGGTTCTTCGCCCTAAGTTAAATAATTAAAACCGCGTCCTTTAGCTGTAGGAAGTACTTACCGAACACGCAGGGTTGAGCATGAGACGATGATATCCAGAAGTTCATCCAACGAGTCACTATTACTTTGCTCTTTGGCCCTCATCTCCCGTGTGAGACATCTCCAATCTGCTTTTGCAAGAAAAGTTGGCTCGTTGAATATAATAGCTCGGCAGACTTCAAAGACTCGTATTTCAGTGAAAAAGCGTTGTCCATGCCCTGATTGGCATGATGTTGGACCTGCAGCGACAAGTGCTTTGGAAGTGCCGTGGACTAGGTGTTGTATCCATCCTTCGCCAGTCGCATCAGTCATAAGCTGCCCAAAGTTAGCCCTACAACTAAATCAACGTTTTTTTTTTCTTCTTTTTTTTGAAGAACGACTCACTTCAAACAGCCCCAGCAGATGTGTAGTCCACAAGATGCGATGCCGGGCGCTGGGCTCTTGATCAAATTTCTCAAGAGCGTTTCTCAAACCCAGCACGGACTTGGAGTAGTGATGCACAGCCAAGTTGTAACTCTTGCTTGGATCAATACCTTCTGATGCGTTCAACTTGACGGCTTGCATAGCACCAAGTGAAAGGACGGCATCGTGAAGGAATGTTCCCGATTCTTGATCTTTCATCAAACTGACAACATCAGTGAAGATGTTCGTCCTGGGGTTGCAGTTATTCCGCCGTAGGAACGTGTCGAAGTAGTGAGAAAGATAGTAGATCTGATCACCCGTAGAGATGGTAACCAATCGAGGAGGCTGACTTTTGCAGGTAGCAGCTGAAACCCTTGTAACCTCCTTTTTGCCAGATTCATCCTGATTGATCCAGATCTGCTTAGGCTTCTGCTTCTCAAAAGTACACTCAACCCTCCTTCTCACACAGTTACTGCACGGAACACTTCCAGAACACTAAGCCTCAAGGATCAGCCATGTACGATGACGAAATTCTCGGTACCTGCCTTGAGATGGCTTGCAGCACATGCAAGGCACCGCGATCGCTTCTTGCGTCTATCGAATGGCCCAACCGGCATTTTCTCTTACTCGCTCGTTGTGTTGATGCAGTTGGTGACACGACAAGGGGGAGCAGCGTGGGTTTATACTCAAAGTGGTATCGATTGAGCGAGATGAGCTTGGCATGTCGCGATACCCTTTTTGGAAACGATTGGGCGACGCTAGTGCTCTGATGCGGGATTGAGCCAATCATGTTGCTAGCTTGGCGGGGAGCTGAACTTCAACTTCGTCAGTGAGTAAGCTTGGGCAGAAAACGGTTCTTGGCAAATGGGGCTTTTGGGGAAGAGAAATGGCAATTCGCTTGAACTTAACTGCTTTGAGTATGGTAGAGGCTGTGTTTCTGGAATGAGTATGGAAGATCCACGGCATTGGGTTTGAGCCTTACCGACAATGTAACGAATCCTGCGAGCTTTGACATCTAGTTCGAAAACTTCGATGCTACTTCATGATGGATATCTTTTCATCTGATTATAAGATGCCTTTCCATCCCTCTCATTGCGATCTCTCTCAACAACCTCACCGACCATCCGAACTCACATTGCCTTCTTTCATTCACTACACCTAAGTTACTTACTTGACAACTTCAATATGCAGTTCTGTCTTCTCTTTCTCTCTCTTTTAGGGACTGGCAATGCCATCCTTCTCCCCAAGCCAAGCGGCCCATACGGTACTGCCCTTCGCATCGAAGGCATGACCGATAAAAGCCGCATCGACCCGTATGACCCCAAAAAAGGTCATAGACAAGTCCTAGCCTCGATCTTCTGGCCCGTCGACTCAGCATCTTGCTCAAACAAGGTCGTCCCATACATGCCGCCCGCTACAGCCAAAGCATACGGACAGCAGGTAGCGCAGTTGGGTCTATCGAACGATACCTTTTCAGCTCTTGAGTTCCAGGTCTGCAAGACTCCTATTCCCCAGAAGGGATGCGAGAGCGAGAAAAAGTCGTTTCCTGTTGCTGTCTTCTCTCCTGGTGCTGGCAACTCGAGGTTGATATACAGCCTCATGGCTCGCTCGCTGGCTAGTTATGGAAACATCGTGGTTCTAATTGATCATCCCTACGATCCTCCCGTTGTTGAGTTTCCTGATGGAAAGATCGTCAAGGGAGGAAACATCCCCGATGACGCGAAATCTAATCAGCAGCTGGGTTCGGTATGTATATCTATATCTGCTCGTATTGCATAAAGAACTTACTAACTCTTCATAGGTCAAGGCAAAGGACATCTCCTTCACCATCTCAGAACTTCTACGTCCTTCTTTCCAAAAGAAGGTATTCAAAGGTCTTCCAGGTTCAATCGATAACAAGAAGATCGTTGCTCTCGGTCATTCCCTCGGCGGTGCCAGTGCAGCCATAGCAATGCTATCAGACAACAGAATCCGCGGTGGTATGGACTTGGACGGCCAGATCTTCGAACCAGCTCTGAGCAAAGGCCTCGCCAAGCCATTCTTCCTCATCGGCCGCCCTAAACACAGCGAGGAAGACACCACCTGGAAGAAGTTCTACGCCAAGCTTCGAGGACCTAAGAAGGAGATTGCCGTCAAGGACACTGTTCATGGCTCATTCACTGATTACCCTCAGCTCCTCAAGGCTCTCGATTTGCCAGAGGCTGTTATGAAGGCGGCGGCGCAACTTGTTGGAACTGCCGAGGCTTCGTATCTTCAGAAGTTCCTTTCTACGACTGTTGTGGACTATATGAAGATCTCCTTTGCTTATAAGGGCAAGAACTAGATATGTGCTCGATTGCCTCGGTTCATGTTGAAGATGTATGCATTATTGGGGCGCGGTACCACTTATTCAACTTCCATTTCATTTGTGCACCTTTAATTATAGATTTCATAGATACATATTCAATTATAGAACCGGAGCTTACTATTCGCCACTCATCATATTTCCATCGTCGACTGGGTTTATGTATGTTTTCAGTCGGCAACTCTGACCCGGTTGTTGAATTTGGAAATTGGACCACGTGAAGTACCAATTGCCTCAAAGCCCAGTCAGGTCAGACTGCGACAGGGGTACGACCGTTCATACAATATCCAGTAATACGAGCAGCGTACCGAGGGGACCCACCAGCAACGCTGGTCAGCTGAACAAACCCGTCAACAACTCCCTTGTCGCCAACCTTGACAAGAAGCCTAGATGATTCGTAGGCCACATATCTAGTGGGAGGGCCATAATTTACTCCCCCATTACCAATGTTCGGCTCAGAGGTGAATATGAGCGGTGAGTTAGCCCCAGGGTTGTCGATATTGGAGTAGTCAACCAAAGAGGCGATATAGCCATCGCTCGACATCCTGACTGTGGCGTAGTCGACATTAGAAGGACCAAGCTTGTATGGCAGCGAGAGTAGATATTTGTTGGTGGTGAATGTGATGCCTCCTCCTGAAAGGAGACTGCCGCTTTGCAAATACACGTCGAAGATATTGGCGCCGTTCTTTGTGCCAGGAGAAGGAATTCCTTCAGTGATGTACAAGCGACCTTGGGTGTTTCGTGCTTTCCATGACTGGTAAAAGCCGGGTTCACCGTTGACGGTCACATCACAGTATGAAACATTAAGAAAGGTCTGCTGCGCTGCAGCAGCAGCTCGCCGGACGTGCGACAAGGCGGGCAGGTCCTTCAAGAAAGCTGGATCGCCAATGGGAATAGTTGGATTGTCAAAAATAGAAGGGTGAGAAGGGTTTGGAGCTGGGACTGCTCGGGCTAGCCCAATAAAAGGCAAGAGATGAGAGAACTTCATGATGCGTCTGTCGCCGATGGAGCTATCATTCCGGAACTCGTCTGCGAAGACATGACGTTAAATAGTTCTTGGCTCAAAGATCATTCCTCTACATACAGGGATGACTTCAGCAAACTCGGATAAAGTGTCTCAACGACAGGCGAGCTATAAGGGCGAGACCGTTTTGGATTTGATTGTGGCTTGCGCTCAAGGCAATAGTTTACCGAGTAGTCGGAACTCGAACTAAGTAGTGTCAAGCCTTTGGTATTATGATACGATTAAGTCCCTTAAAGTTTTCTCAGCTACGCCGCTGTCGTTAGTTTTGGCATGAAGGCTGAACATTGTCATTTGACATCTCCATTTATCTAAGCGGTGAGGTCACTCAACGTTCCGGCGTAGTCCTTCAAGCGAATCACCTCCTTATTGTATCCCTTCATTTCTTGTGCATGTTTACCACTGGAAACAATCAAAAGTGATGGTCAAGGCGTATGGGCCAGACCGCTCTTCTTTCCTGTAGCGGAAGCTGACTAGGAGAGCCTACTTACAAGTGTCAACGCTTGGACTAAAGAGTGCCAAGCCGGGACCATTAAGGCATAGCTCGTATAACTTTGGATATGTACTCTCAGCTACGCCATCGTCATTGGTCTTGATATCAGTGCTGAGCAGTACGAACCAGAATGCCCACAGTGGTCACTTTTGGTCTGAGTGAGCCAGTGATGTTTTGTTCTGGGTAACGAACGAGGGTATAAGCCTTGGCGTCGGTCTAGACTATCTTTGCAAACCGCGACTAGCTGTAAAGCTTTTGAGCGATTTCAACGAAAGGTAAGAGTCGAACGCGCTTGATAACATTTTGGATATGCACTCACAGCATTGCGACGCCAACTCCATCCAGATAATTGTTGGCATATATTCCCCAGAGACCAAACTATCTAATACGGCCACTTGAAAGAAGTGGAGATATTAACAGAAAAAGGTTCCGCGTCCGTCAGTGACTTCACCCGTCCAAGAATATGCTCCAGCTGTCTAAACGCCGCAGGCGGCGCATACTGAGGAACCATATGTCCACTAGTCTTAACCGTCGCCAACGTGAAACCTCGCTCGGAGTGGACCGATCCCTGAACACTACCACCGGCCCAGTTCTCAACATTGCTCTCAGTGTTGTTAATAACCGGAACAACAAACTCTGCACTCGGTGCAGTCTGGAAACCCTGCTTGCCATTCCACTTGAGGCCCTGAACGGCTAAAGCTGTTGTGTTGGAAGTGATGATGTAATCAGCCATACCAGATCCAATCATGACGTTATTGGTCTTCTCGACAAGAGTTTGGAACTTCGTCTCGTGCTCGGCGGGATCGTATCTGTCATCATCGCCGACAAAAACTGGGCCTGAGCACGATGCCCATTCTTTAGGCGCAGCTGGGGCATGGATTGCCTTGCGGACCCCAGGGATGTTGAAGAAGAGAGTTGCTCCGGGAGGAGTATACTGAACCGACGGAAAGCCTAGGACATCCCAAAGAACCGGGCAGGTATCCTGGACGTGGTAAACGTTGAAGCAAGGGTTGATAACAGTGCTGATCTCGTCAAAATGAGCAGTGATGTCGCATCCCTTAACCTGAACAGGCTTCCAAGGCGCCGGAGGAGGGGGATAGGTAAGATGAGCCTCACGATACCTATCCAATCCACACTTCTCATTATCGTTATCAAGAATCTTCTTGTTCTTATCAGGGATCGCAAATACACTCTCCCAATGTCTAAAGAAGCCCGGAAAAGCAGCATGGTCGAGACGCAGCTTGTCAGCATACGGCATGACAGGATCGTAGTAAAGAGCGCCCTTGACATTGTAGTACGTCTTGTCCTTCTTTTCAAGCATGGCAGCGCCGACGTATGGGACGTAGACACCGGCGTAGCTTTCGCCGGTGACGTAGAGTTTCTTGCCTTGGAGGCCGAAGGTGTCAACGAGGTTCTTCCACCATTCGACGAATTGGGCTGCCGTCTCGGTGTTGTTCATTGCTGTTACGTGACCAGTTGAGAAGCCAGTGCCAATGGGATATTCAACCCTGGATTCACGATTAGTGAGGCGAGGTAGTTTAGAGAAGGATAAGCTCATACCAGATGACGTTGGCGAGCTTATGCCATGACCAAGCATTTGGCACGGGTTTGTATGTGCCATACTTCCACGAGAACGGACCATTCTCTTGTGTAAGACCTAAAGGCGCGTCAGTAATGAAATGTTAAAAGTGGGAGTGTCGTAATACCTTCTAGAGAGGAGCAGCCGGGACCTCCGTTGAACCAAATCACAACATCGTCCTTTCCAGCTGGGTTAACAGTTGGGAAGAACCAGTAGAAGAACTTGGGATCTTTGGAGCCAGTCTTCTTCCAGTCAACAGGGATCTGACCAGCATAGCTTTCACCGATATCGAATGAGACTTCCGGGATTCCAGTAGATGGGACATAATAGGCTGGTAAAGGTTTAGTCCAGGTATCAAATTCGTATTGTGTCATCAACTCACGAGAAGTCTTCTTATTGTAGTACTGAGCATGCGCAGGCTTGGAAGTACGAGGATGAATAACCGAAGCATTCGCCAAGGCAACAAAGCCCAGAACTGACAAAAGAGCTGTTTTCAAACCCATCTTGAAGCACAATAATCCTTTACAGTCAAGAATAAGCCTGGTACTGCCGGACAAGACAGGCAGCACAGTTCATATTTATACAAGAGTCATACATAATAATTCCCCGTAACATAGCCCGACGATCAGAGGAACTTTTGCCAAGATAAAGTCCTACTCACCAGGGTATACAGCGTAACGCAACACAGTAAACAAGCGAGCACGGAAGTTCGGCATGAATACTTATCTGTGCCTTCCTAATGCAGCTATTTGCGGGGTTCGTGATATCAGCATCGTGGTATGATAAGCTGTTCGTGTCGATCGGTCGGCGGGAGTTTCCTATTGGCTGGGCCGTTTGACAAAAGTTCGACAGAGGGCATTGACCAATTGATTGAGGTTGAGGCTTCGCTTAGAGTTTGTAGAAGGAAGTGAGGAGTCGGTTCTGAAGGTTCGAGAATGAGACTCTGGTGTGTAAGAAACTCTGAGATGGGATGTTCAAAACGTCAGACGGAGTGCGGGACAGCGTTGCATTCCGGTGTAAACTTAAAGAAAGGCCGTTGGGAGACTATTCGCGGATTGAGATGGACTACTCGTCATCAGGCGTGCACGACTAGAGTGTTTTGGTTTTTATTTTTTGCCAACATTATGGTCTTGTTGTAAGCTTGCCAGGGTAGCTCTTGTTTAAACCCTATCCTGTTATTAAACAAGATCCCAAAGTCTTGGCTATTGAACTTTGGTACTTCATCTCTGTGAATATCCTCTAGGTGCTTTATCCTGTATATGTTTCGAAGACCACGTCTTAGCCCTTTGCCCCGGCGAGTATGTTTCACCGTGTACCTGTCATACATATCTGGCATAGATAAATATGCCCCTGGTCCTACTGCTCCTTGTTGTCTATGCTGATGTATGTTGAATATCAAGCTCATATATGCAAATCCCAAAGACCTTATATATCCCAGGTCACCAACACAACCGAAACTCCAAGTAATTCAACCCATCAATGTCATGACCTACTCATCTCCTCACGAAGTTGTTTCTGAAACTCATACTTCCTCTCCCTCCTATCATTCTCCCTCCTTCTAAACTCATCCCTCCTCCTCCTCTCCGCAAGCGTACTCCTCAAACTTGAATCAGGACTCTCCCAATCAAGCGGCACCTCCTGAAAAAGAATCGGCGTCCAAACCGGCAAAAGCCTCATCCCAATCTCGTTGTCCGAAGGCGGAAGTATCTTCCACGTCTCATCAGTCTGAATATCTCGTCGTTCAACGGGTATGAACGCCGCTGGCTCAGGTGGATTTAGCTTTAAGTACGAGACTTTTCTATCGCGATCAGAGCGCCATTCTCGATATTCAATCTCTGCATGCGCAGCTTGTTCGTCGCTTAATTCAAGACCAGCTGCATCTTCTTCTCCTCCTAATAGAGGCGGCTGTGATTGTGTCGCGTATTTCGGCTCCCATTCTCGTAGCTTGGTGTGGCATTTTTCCAGCGCTGACCAATGCCGCTCGAGAGCTTTCGCGCGATTATGAATATCGTGAGGTTCGTCGGGAATAGGCGCCCTTCGTCCACCTCTTCTCGCAATAGCACCAATCGTATCCTTTATATCCGTTTCCCTGAGAACCAACCACGTTAAATCGCGCCTCGTTTCCAAACTGCGCAGTAATTTCGAGCAAAAGTGATAATCATCACCCGGCAACGACGTAGGAACAAGAGTGTCGCGGAGAACACGATCAATGTATCGCACTTCGCACAGCGTGTTCTCAAGCCTCGCGTCTTTGGGGAGGTCTCTAAAGGGGTTGCAGCGCTCGAGAAAAGCTCTCCCCAAACGGGCGTTGGAGTCGCTGAGGGGTTTAAGGTTGATTATCCCGGTGAATGGGGGGCTGCGGGCCTTGAAGGCGTTGAGAAAGCCTCGAATTGCACTCATGATGCATTTTCTGGCCGGACTGAGGGGGGTGAAAAGAGGGAATGATGTTTTGAGGAACAGGCGGGAAAAAGGGAAAATTCTTGTTTTTAGAACCCCCAAAGTTGAGAAAAGCTGGGCGCTGCGAGTGATCCTTGTCCCTCCCGTGTTGCTCCGCTTGGCCGTCTCACAGTGAGGCCTTTCGCTGACATTCGGACAATGCCGTGTGCTTTGACCAGTTCAGTAGGACAAATGGAAGCGGTGTATTAAAAGTTTCCATCATTAACAAGGACACTTATTATAACTAGTTTCTCCTGCGACAATATTAAAAGCCGCAATATTCTGTGCAACAGTCTCAACTCCAACATCTCAAAATCTTCAGTGATCGGCGTCACATGTAACCAATTCGTCCTCTCACCCGCTGTAACCTACCCCAAACGAATCAAGCTCATCGCCACCGCGCCCGATTCTCCTCTTCGTACAAATCATAGGAATACCCGTTCCATTCATCCTGCAAAGTGCGAGCATCAATGCTACTGCGCGTCCCTTGACCAGGCAATCGACGAGCCTGGAATGATAGAGACTGGTGGCCCAACCAACCCTCAATGCGACCGTCGCCAAGAAACTCCATCCAACCTTCGTTGTTATCCCCATAAATTACAGGTCCCTGATCTTCACGACCCCGCCATTTGAACCAGACGCGATCATGCGATGAGCGCATAGGACGTTCTTCAAAGAGGAGTACGCCTTCGTAGACGCCGAGGTTGAATCTTCCCCAGAGTCGGTTGCCAGAAATTGTAAGAGTCAATTGGAACTCGTCAGGATCAAAATCCCATTGCTCGCTCACATCGAGCGATTCAACTTCGTAATCGCCATTCAAAAAACCCAACGGTGCAAGGCTGGCCTCGTCGACGTCATCGCTGCCGTTGTTCTCATCCGAGGAGTAATCTTGATCTGGAAATTCCGAGTATGGGGGTGGAGCATCATCATCGTAGCCCGACGGAGCGGGTATTCGTCCCCGGGCCGCAAAAGCGCCGCTGCGTCGAGCAGTCTGAGGCGTTGCGAATCTGGGTGCTTCGGGAGAAGGGTCTCTTGCTGTCTGTCGGCTCTGACCACCTGTTGACCATCGGGATGAGTTTCCTCGGCGGGCAGTTTGCTTAGTTCGTGGCTGTTTTGTCGGTTCTGTTGCAGCGGTGCTTGCTCCTCGGCCAGCGGCTTGAGATGCACCGCCTCTAACGCAGCGCGCAGCCTGGGGCTTTCGTGCCAGTGTCGGTGCGGGGCCCGTTTCAGGGTCCTTTGCCGCTGTCTTTGCCGTGCTTTTGGCGGGTGCCTTAGCTGGTGTTTTCGCTGGCGCTTTTGCCTTTGGTGTCACAGCCTTTGGTGCAACGGTCTTTGGCTTTTTGGCCGTCGCGTTGCTTTTATCGTCATTTGCTTTTCTCTTTGAACCCGGTGCAGAGGTTTTCTTCGTCTCAGCCTTCACAGGCGTCACTTGCGCAGCAGGTTTGCTCGCCGCACCCTTCTTCGCCTCACGATCGTTCTTTGTCCATTCTTTCTTCAATTTCGTCTCAAGTTTGCTCACATTAGCTGGCACCTTGAGGTTTCCCGCATTCACCGCATCAAACAGTCGCATGCGCGCAACAGACTTAGTCTTGGATGGAGGGAGACCATAGTGAATGAGTTGGGCCTCAAACCAGTGTGCGGGGTGATCTTTGTCGTTGCCAGACGTGAAATGCTCCTTGAGCTCGGTTGCTGTGGCGCGCCGATGACGGTTCTGGCCAGAGGATTGAGCGAAAAATACACCTTCGGCGAATGCGAAGCCATCCTCCGAGACAGGAGGAGCTCCAGGCCATGCACTGGCAGCATATGCTTTGGGCATGATGTCGCAAGTGGTTTGTGTCTGGCGTTTGTGATTTGAGGCCTGACAAGCGAGAGATGATGCTCTCTTCAGTGCCTCACGTGCCCAGTTTTATGCCGCCCCAATGCATGCTTATGTCTGCACTGACTTCATGCTACAGGTTATTCACACTTCCTTATACAGCCGTGGCGAGCACTGTCAATCCTAATATTTCCAGCCCACGAACTAGCGACCTACGAGATCTAAGACGGATTTAAGTTGCAGTTTGGGGGATTGAATTTAAGCTAACTAAAGAGCAAATACGAAGTGAATATCTAAAGCAAGCAACCATAGTATGCCGAGAAAGTCGAATGGACTTGAACTTCTGCAAAAGAAACAATGAAAGTTTTACTATAATCTATCTGCTAAATCAAGAACAATCTACATGCTACTTTCCCGGATCCCGAACCAAATGCAAAGACGTCTATCGAATGAAATCATGCCATCAAAAGTCGAAGGACCTTAGAACTCATCTGGAGCTCCCTCAAAGATACCAAAGCCCTTGTTCAGCAACTCCTCATCCCGACGAAAGTTACAAGACTCCTTAACAGCATCCGTCCACATATCCTTACCACCCTGCGTCTTAGACGCCAACTTAACACCCTTAGCAACTGTCCTAGCAGCTGTAGCAACAGGTCCAACACCAGGAATAGCATAGGTGCTCGCAAAAACAGCCTCCTTCATAACATTCACCATAATCTCACACGTAACACTTCCAATCTCTCTAAAACCCTTGTCAAGACCTCTAGCTGTGAAATCAACAGTAGCTGTAGCAAGAAAGTCCGCTGCTGAAGTGTCGCATTGACATTGGCCGATGGCATAGCGCTCGCCGTCGGGGTTCGCGCCTAGCATGTCGTTTGTGAATTTGCTGGGGTGCACGGTCGTGCAGATTTTGGTGCGGTCGTTTTTGCAGTAGACGCCGCATGCCCATGCACCGTCGCGGGGAGAAGGGTCGAGGTAGAAGAGGCAGAGGCCTTGTCTTGCGAATGCTCCGTTTTGGCGGTGGTAGGCGTCCCAGGACTTGTCTTGGTATTGACGCCTGGTGAGGGAAGAGTCTTCATGAGTGGGTAGGGCAGCGCCAGTAACCAAAGGGACCAGGGTGGCGGCGAAGGTGAGAAGGGTGTTGAAGGCAACCATCTTGAGTGTGTGAAGCTGAGGATAGAATGAATTGATAGTGAGTATTGTTTGAGGAATATGCTGTGGTGCTTGCGAATTTGAATGTTGTCTGATAGTTGTGAATGGTGATGAGAATGTAGTCCATTTCTCGAGCGTCTCTTTACTGTATTTTATAACATTTACATATTCTCATTTTGTTTATCCATTAGGCGCAGTACTTGAGGCTGGCATAGAGCTATCACCAAACCAGACGATGAGCTTACTGAGAATATCTTCTACCCTTGAGATCACATAAGGCGATATCCTCTGCCAAGGCCTAAGCGCTTAGTATTTGACTTCTCACTGCCCCAGAATCCTTGTCTCCAATTGGCTACAGAACGGAATCCATAAGAAAGATCCAGTTCTTTCTCTTGGCCTTTGAATTATCCTGGCCACGTAAAAGCGCGATTGGCTCATTAACTATATATTTAGCTGACGAGCTTCCCAAACTGAAATGTCTCCGATCAAGACATCGAGGAGCCAGAGAATGTTGGGCAGTGCTGAGGGTTCGCCAAGCCTGATATAGCCGCTCTGACAGAGAACGAGAACTATTTCTGGCAATTAATTGACCTTCGAGATATACACCATGACATGAGATTAGTATATTGCTACTATTCCTTCACCTAGGGCTTCTTGAAGAACACTTAGCTTCAAGCCTGTTTGATACTTGCTCAGCGAGCGGTTATTCGGACTGATGGGCTCTCGGAAGTTTCAAGGGCTGGCTTTCGTGTGGATTCTCACACTCTGACAAAAGCACTGGGCACGAGATCTGTGAGATCCTTTGGGCTCATATGCATGAGTTGTGTGCTTTCGGAACTTGATCGAAACAGAAGCCCCATCGAAAATCCAATCACCAGCTGTCAGATCTCACTTCCTTCGCAACAGGGATATTACGAGAAAAATGGTAAGACAATCGAGAAGAACGACTGGTACGCAAATGCAAGCTATAAAGACCTTAGAGCCTTTACTAAGAAATATGTATTCTAATCCAGGGTTTAAGGATCTTTCCTAGTATCTGTCTATGTTCTGTTTGTCTAACTCTAAGATGTCAACATATGGGCTACTTGCAGTTGAGACGTGGGGCTGAGAGCCTATAATCATCACAAAGAACTTTGTATCTTGAATTCCAACTTCACCAAACAAGGCCGTGCCTATTACTTCTTGATAAGATGGCCCAAGACTGAAAATGGAAGCAACTGCCCCGGATCTGGCACTCGCATAGTAGGGTAAAGGAATGTTGGCGTGACCCATGTGAAGAATGCGCATAGCCAGATAAACCCAACTATCCAGCGTAATGGCCTTGAGAGGGGAATGTGCACGGTTGCAGCTTGCATCGCATCTTCAAACATAATCGCCACTGGCTGTAGAAGAAAAAAGGTCTCAATCTCATACCACTCTCCAGCCTCAAGACGATAGAAGTAATGCAGGCAGCGGTGCATCAGCGCAGAAGTAAAGAATGTCAATATCAAGCGTAAGTATCGCGACAGCGGCATACCGCGACGGAGCCGGAGAACTCTATCCGGGATGAAGTCTCCCCAGCCGGTCAGAGCCTTGCGGAAAAGTTGATGCCAAAACGTTCTGGAAGTCTTTTAGTACATAGGTACTTATGATATTGATCAGCAGGGCTTTTGAGAGTACCACTTACCCCCAAAAGGTCCGAACAGTCGACCATGAACTTATTGGCCCGTTGAGGTGCGGCCAATCCTCCGGCTTACACAAACCAAGCAAAACTGATACTGCAGCTACAAAGCCATGGGCTAATCGTACTGAGATATAACCAATAACCCAATTTCCAAGGGAGCTATAAATGCGGAAGATTACATCTTCCCGAGTCAGACTCGATAAGTTGAACAGTGACTGCTTCTCTCTTGTGATCAGGTGCCTTTCTGGACGCGGCGCGAGCAATATGGCATCCAAGATGAGATAACAGCCCACGCACTCAATAATCTTTGTTATAACAAAGAGAATAGAATTTGACGAGACACGTTGCTTCATCGAAATCTCCCCTCGTAGGCCAACACGGCGCAGGCTAAAATACACGCCCACGGCACGAAGAAGACGGGTGACAGTACTTAACCGACGGCCCAACCGTCTCTCTTCTACTGTGAGGATATCGTCGGCATCGTAGCGCGAGAGCAGAACCTGTTCAGTGCCATTGGCGTACAGTCCCCAGCTGAACAAAGAGATGCCGGTTATCTGGGCTTGAGGCAGGGAAGATTCCAAAAGAGAAGTGTAAAGGGAATACTGCAGGCAACTCAGCGCCACCGCTGCACCAACCCGGCTGAGGATGCCACTTTTCGGGATGAAGACAATAATGCTTGCGAAAATGACGGGGATACTGCAGGCGAGAATGACGGTTTGAGGAATTGAGCCTGGTTCTGGATGGCCCATCGTGGCAATTGAGATAAGGTGGCGGCGGAAGCCACTCGAGATGCGTAGGAAGGATCAGATTTGCGGAGAATAGAAGTTGAAGAAAGATTACCGCAATAATGCATGTGCGGATGGTTCGGCATTTGAACGAGATCGACCCCTGTAAATTTAAGGTTTAAAGTGCATTATGTAGAGTAAGTGCTGATAAAAACAAAACACACAGATCTAGCGCCTTCATCTGCCATAGTCTATTTCTCGTAACACATTATTCAACCTCCAATATCCTTCCGGCCACATAGGTCCTTTAGCTGGAACCTCGCCCCCTAGGATAGAAGTAACAGGAACTTTCACTCCATAAAAATCCTCGTTTGCCTTGTCTCTCGTCGTGATTACAGTCCCATCAATCTGCGCCCCAACATACAAGCCCCTACTCTTCACATAGCTCCATATAGGCTCGTCGACCCCGTTGCTGTTAACCGTCGAATCAACATACACGCCCGTACCAACCGGCCCAGCGGTAACAGCGACCTCGCCACCGAAGGAGACTCTTGGTTTGGTGAATGCGGCTACGGCTTCGGGGGTTCGCAGAACACATACGCAGTCGTATATATCCATGGCAACCATGAAGCCAACGCTGAGGGTGTTGACGGCAAAGGAAGATGGCGGCGACCACGACCCATCAGGCCGCCGCGCTACAACAACGCCAGAACCGCTGCCCCAGGAAAACTGCGCCCCAGACCGGAATGCGGTGAAGATGGCGAGACCTGCCGCGGACTTGAGGACTTGTCGAGGAATTCTGACTATTGCCTTTCGTCTTGATAATGAGTCGTTTGGCGAAGTGGTTGAAAGTGGTGTTCCGTCTGCAACCAGGTTAGCCCATCCCTTGCAACACCTTTCAAGCCTTTCTTCCACCATGCACCATCAAGGATACATACCACAGAAAGATGTTAGTATGCGTGATGCTTTGTCGCACTCTTTGTCTAGAGTGGTAGGCATGAATGCCTCGCATCCGAGCTTGTTCGCGAAGCCATTCACGGGACCAGCAATCTTGGCACTGAGGACGTGAAGACGATTGGCAAAACCCGACTTGCGGTTTATTTGCATCTCTGTGGATTGTTCTTGGGTCGATGTACTGTTGGCGGAATATGGTGGTGGTGGAGAAAAGTGAGTATTCTTGCACTCGTATCCTGTAGGGCGAGGGTCTTCATTAACGGGAAGCTCGAACAAGTTATTATTGTTGGATCCCATGGCTGCCATTTGATTTTCAAAAGAGAGTGTGATGTTATTTAATGAGTTCCGGAATCCACCGAGGAGAAAATGCTTGACTTTGTACTGTTGAGTCCGCTAATTTCATGCTATAAGTGCTCAACCACGAAAGGGAAAAGCAATGAAGATAAATATTCGAGTCAGTTAAAGTCGCGTGTGATGCCTTCGCATTCTTTGGGAGCATACCAAATCATCGGGCGCCGCGGGGCTCTACCGAAGCTTGTGCGAGGCTGTACATGGTAGTAGATTTGTGTATCCGACGGGTCATGTATGAGCCACCGTAGCAGCGCTATGTTTGAAAAAGTGAAAAGGACATGACCTAGCCATTCATAAACCCTGAAACATTGACAATGGTGCTACTGTCCGCAAGCGGAATGTGCAGGGCATAGTTCGGCCGGGATCAATAGTTAGGGGGGCAGATGGCCACGTCTGGGATGCCCGCGGGGTCCGAAGGAACTGCCAGACCCCAACAAAGTACAGGGATTATGGCATGGAAAAGCCAAGACCCAATCGCTGTGTTAGTCTTTACTTATCCTCCAATACATAATATAATTTGTTTCGCCTGGCTGTCTAGTATATCCAAAGCCACTCACTAATGGTCACTGAGATTGCCTGCGTTTCGTTCTCGTCCACCCAAGCTCTTGCTGTCTAGCATGGTGGTACTTATCGCACTTGGGCTGGTCTATTTCCGCCGATACCAGGTTTGAAATATATAATTTCAACACCGTAACATCCATCGAGCGCTCGGCTGATACGATGCTCCAGTCCCTAAGCAATAAATATATAGCGCTGTTCCCTGGGGAAGTGAAAATAAGCGAAATGGCTTACGCTAGCTACCTTTAAACACTTAGAGGACTTATTTCAGTCAAGAGATTGGCCGAAATTACTATAAAATGCCTATTCCGAAAGTCAAAGTTGACCTGTTGGCTGACCCAAGTAGAGAACGATAGCCAATAAGGCTTTGGACTGAGTAAAAATTGCTTCTTATACGTTTTTGCAAATTTCAAAGGTTATTGATCCCGTTTCCATTCGATGGGCTGATCCAGCTCATATCCGCAACGTCACGGAGTGGCGTCTGCGGCTGAAGAATAATGGGATTCAACAAGCCATAGTACGCAGATAGTAGGATCTAGGCTCGCTAGCTTAGGGTTCTAGATCTCACAAGGCTGAAAAGGTGTTGAAGCCCCTGGCTAGCAGCTGAGCCTGTTTTAAGCTTATAAACCCCGGAACGTCACCAACTGAACGTCGTTTCAATATCAACTCACAACCCAAACTTCACACATCATTCTCCCCCCTCTCAGCATGAAGATTAGCTTTGTCCCGCTCGCTTTCGTTGCCGCCCTGGCTGGCTTTGGCGAGGCACGAAACTGCACCCCTAAGCTTGATCACTGCGGCCACTTCCTCCTTGACATTGGTGAGTCCCTTTCTTCCTCTCCATCAGGCCAGGGTATCTCTGACAAGTCTCTTTCATAGGCAAATACTACTCCACGATCTCTGACGAGCTCACCCGCGCGACCAAAGCAACGTGTTTCAAGAAAAGCCAGATCAACGATGCCCTCTTCTCGTGCGGTCCCAACGGAACTATCAAGTTCAAGAAGTACTGCAAGAATGGATGCCAGGTCGGAGCTATGGGAAAGCATGACTACTGCTGGACCTAGGAGCAAAGCCTGTTTTATTTGCTGAAGTTAAGAATTTGCGGCGGTTCTTGGAGTAGTCATTGAAACCAAGGATCAGCAAGAAGCTCGCTTGGCGTGGCCCTCGTTGAGGGTTCAAATCTCATAAGTCTTGCAATCAACTTCGCTATAGCCCTTAGCTCGTCCCTTGTGAACTCTAGATGCTTGTTGTTATCGAAATACACTTCTTCCATCCAACTCTGCAACTTCCAAGCATCCTGCTGCTGCAATCCCTCCCCTTTCATTTCTTTCCATTTAACTTGCCACCTTGACGGTAGCTCATCGTCTATAAGCTCTATCATTTGCTGGACCAACATGGGGGGAGTTAACATGACAACGTCAAACGGGGGCTGCCCAGTCACCAGCTCAAACATCTGTGCCTGTTAGCAGATGAAATCTTCATTATCAGGTGGTGATTACCAGACATCCTGTGCTCCATAAATCTACTCGGTTATCGAGTCGGTCTCCAAACACAATCTCTGGTGCGCGTACTGGTAGCGGGGTATGCAATGTATTGAGCGTATCGTGGTTGAAGAAAGCTTCACCAAAGTCAATTATCTTGATAGATGGCGACGAGAGCAGCCGTTGGACGTCCTTGTGTCTGAAAGATGAAGGTCGGACGATACATGTTGGTATATTGGATGACAAGGACTTGCCGTCTCGCCTGGTGACTAAGCCCATCTCAGGCTCACCAAGCCTAGCAATGAAATCTCTTTCGCTTAACAAATGCAGCTCCGGAATCTCTAGAGCAATATTCCTAGTGTGAAGGTCTGTGAGCAAATTCAGCATTGCCGCTGTCACGAACTGAAACATGGTTCTCTTACCACCATGCCCGATGCCGTTGGAAGCAAGATAATCGATGCCTTGCAATACCTGTCTCGAGATCGACTTTGCAGCGTGAGACGGCAGTCTGTCACCTCTGCAGTGGCTATCAATGATGTCTGCAATATTGGGCCCAACGAGATCCAATACTAAACAATCGTGTGAGCCATTGGGGCCAATAAGAGTGAATTGATCCCACATTTGGTTCACGTAACACGACCCCTCGTGATTTCTTGGTGAAGCAGCAAGCCTTTGTAATATTTTGGTATCCCGACTTCTCGCTTCGGCAACTGTGATCTTGAGTGCAACATAGCGATCATGCCTGACAAATAATCAGTAAGAAACGGCATTTTCGTTACACAAACATACGTCTGGTCCTTGGCGGCCCAAGTTGTCGAATAGCTGCCCCAGCCAAGCTTATGAAGGACTTTATACCGTCCATCGCTAAGGGAATCGCCTAACGCAACGGGATGGTAGCCACCTGGTCGATAGCGGTGCATTGGTTCAGCGTCAACACCACATCTGTACTCTTGTGCTGGTGTTTGGCTGCCGTGATATTGACGTACGTGGGTAGGAAAGAATGCAACAGCAATTGATGGAACCGAGATCCGTATCCGCGCCGCCCTCAAAAGGTTCGCACTAACCATCGCCGTTACCAATCTCAATGTCTCTTCCACTGCATCCAAGATGATCAGCGAAGCCTGGAAGCTTCGAAACGTCGAATCATCTTGTCGCTCCAGGTTAAGTTTTGTAGTGACGATCGGATGATGCGGCACATTTAATCCCTGTCGCCCAGTCCGCAACCCGATATTTTTAGAACCTCGCCCAAAAATAAGGTTGCAGCTCAAATAACGGATCAAAAGCTTGGCAGAATGCTTAATCTGATCAAAAATCATCGATAGAAATGTTTCATCTGTAATTCATGACGCTGATCCAGCTGGTCTAGGGGTAAGTGAACAGGATATTCACCCCTGTACGAGGTGACAGCGAAGCACAAATGACGTCAGGGCGTGGTCTAGAGCTCTAGGTCCTGCATCAGAGCTCAACTGTCGGGCCATTCACCTCCCAAACCCCGCAGAACCTCACCTTCAGCTGCATCGTCATCATTATTTATACGACACATTCCTCTCTTGGCTTTCACCTCTTTACTTCCCTTCTCTCTCATTTCACCCGCCAAGATGGATAACATGGCTTCTCTCAAAGATACTCTTACCGCCTCTGGAGGCGCGGAATCTGCCGGTGAGTACTCCCCTCTCACCCTAAACACTCCACATGACGTCTCCAATCATCGCGCTTACTTTCTCTAGGATTCCTCAACGACATCATCGCCCAGCTATGGCCCAACATCAACGTCGCAGGCGGCAAGATCATCAAAGATGTCGTCGAACCCATGCTTGACCAGATGCTTCCAGGTCCTCTCGCGAACCTCCGCTTCGTTAAGCTGGACTTTGGACCTACACCCATCAGATTCTCAAATGTTGACGTGCACAAGACCGAACTCGAGGGCATCAAACTTGATATGGACTTGAATTGGGATGGCAAGTGCGATTTCGAGCTTGATGCGTCGATGGTGCCCAAGATTGTAAGCTCCGCTTTGCCTAGCCTCAGTATTACGTCTTGCTGATTATTGGTCTTACAGGGTATCGAGCATGTGAAGATGAGGGGAAGACTTTCCATTCTGCTTTGTCCTTTGACAAACGTTATCCCACTGGTATGAAACTACAATTGAATCGATATCTCAGCACTAACAACATCCATAGATCGGAGCTGCTCAGGTGGCTTTCATCAACCCCCCTGAGCTATCTCTCGACTTTACCGACGCCGCTAACATCGCCGACTTCTCCTTGATCGACAAGACCGTCCGCAAGGTCATTCTCAACATCATTTCCTCCATGGCCGTCCTCCCCAACCGCTTCCTCGTCAAGCTCGACTCCTCTAATGATTACTTCAAGACCTTCCAGCCCCACCACGGTGTTCTTCGCCTTACCATTGATAACGCAACTGAGATTACGGGCGAGAAGAAGAGTGGCGCCAAGAGACTACTCCAGAAGCTTGTCAAGGATATTCCCGACTGCTACTGTGATGTCAACGTCGGTGCTGAGGGAGAGTGGCGAACTTCGACTATTAAGAATAAACACGACCCTCAGTGGAACGAGACTCACGACTTCCTTGTTACAGATTACGAACAGCGCATTACCATCGATGTGAACGATGAGGACTTGGGCGGTGACGACGATATTGGTATTGCTACGACAACTGTCAAGCAACTGCTCTTGAACGGCGGTAGCCAAACCCTCACCCTGTCGCACAAGGGCCAGCCCCTTGAGACCAAGGTGACTATCCACGGCAAGTTCTTCAACTTTGTCGGCGAATCCAACAGCATTTCCGCCAGTAGCCAGAACGAAGGCGAAATCTGCGGTCTCGCTACCGTCCTCATCGCCAGCGTTAATGGTCTAAACGGCCAACGCGACGAGCTCAAGCCCAGCGTCAAGGTGACCTGGGGCGACAAGGAATTTGTCACTCCCGTCAAGAGCTATAGCCCTGGAACGGATATCTTCAACCCATCTTTCGACACAGCTTTCCGGTTCCCTATTACCGCGGAACAGCTTTCTAACCCGCACAGCTTCAAGCTTAGCCTGCAGAATGGTACGAGCGAGCAGGGATCTGTCGATATTTCTTTTGATAGTGTGACGGGTGCTAATGGTATGAACCGTGAGGAGGAGTTTGATGTTGGATCTGGTGCTACTATCCGAGCTCGTTTTTCTATCCGTGGATTGCAGCTCGCTGAATGATTGGGGGCGAAAAGTGTGGACGATGTTCCTGAAGCATGATGCGATACGCATGCCTAGTATGAATTATCAAACAATAAATAATTGATTCTTTCAATTATTGATCAAGCACAGTATAGAGAAACAAGGAAAGTGATAAAGTATAACGCGCCTCGCCTCAAGACTGCCCCAGATACACTCACTACCTAGTTGATCTTACAGTTTAAGGTCGCGCATTATGTCTAAGCCTAAAATATGCATAAATTCAGTAATATTTATTTACTTTTATAGCGATTTACCTCATCTCTTATCATATTGGAGGAGATTAGCTCTTCACATACTGTACTTATCCTAAAGCTTAATGCTTATAGTCCATTCTCCTCAGATTTTAGTCAAATCAAACTTCAAATTGCTATCTAAAAGAGTGGAATCTGGCCATTTAATGACAGACTGAAGCCAGTATAAATCTCAAAGCCACTTATAACACGATCAAACACCTCATAACCTTCCCACATACCATCAAGGAAGCCGAGATCCCCAACCATAGTCCTGGAGATCATCCGACCCTTTCAATGTTCCTCATCATCTGCATATCTGGCCAGCAGCTGAATTGGGCCGAAAAGATCAGATGAGCCACCGAGATCTGAGGGGGCACTGTTTCCGGTCTTCTCGTGATCTGCATCAGTTGGAATTCCGTAGGCATGAACAGGCTCTCGCATGGTCTCATCAAAGGTCTCAAGGTCCTTGACCTGCAGCTCGAGAAGCTTTGCAGCTGCCTCGAGTGTGACGCTGATGCCCATTTTCGCTAATTTGGCGGCATACTCTTCGGCACCACGGTTGCGGAGATAGTCTTTGTACTGAGATATTCCGTTCGAGCTTGTTGAGTTTAAGGTACTGAGGGAGGTGGTGTTGGATTCGTGATCTTGATCTTCTGGTTAGCCTGAAATCACTGAGGGATCAACTCCAAGCGCTTACATGGTGAGACATTCTCCAGCATCCGATTGAAGCTCGGAAATGCGATCCGGTAGATATCGAACCATCGGTCCTCTTCACTTTCTTTCGATGACTTCCTCTTGAGGGAACGGAGTCGAGCAGCTTGCTCTCTACTCAACATGCCGTAAATTGCCTCTGGTTTCCTTTTAAGGCATGGTGTCTCTTGATGTTGATGAGCCAGGAGGAGCTCGTCTGTTTCGAAGCTGGTGTCGCACCGGCGGCAAATATGTTTGCCTCTGTACTTCTTTGGAAGGTGGCAGCGGAAGAGATGTTCCCTACTCTAAAGTTAGCTTATCTTTCCTAAGCTTAGGTACTTATGCAGCCTTATGTAAATTTAGGTGAACTTAGAAGGACTTAGGAAAGTTTATACGTACTTGACTTTGTTGACATCAATCCACCCTGGACCTTCACAAGCTCGATGGTGAACGGAGACCAGTATACCTGCCTTGTTAAAGGGGCATGCAAAGCGAGGTTTCAGACTGATTTGGGCGTCACTGAGACTCTGGGTTGTTGTGTAGGTAAAATAATTCGCATCGACCGTGTTATCGAGTCGTCGTCGATTGGCATGCTGAGTGTGGACCTGGGATCGCGAAGTCGTTAGCGAAATACTCCTTGTCGAATAATACGGAGTAGCCATATAAGAAAAAGCCTAGCTATATATGCGTGAGTTCTTTGAATTCACACAGTTTCCTCCGTCAAGGAACTTGAAGTGGCTGTCGTACCATTTCTTCATCACTGTTGCCGCGAGATTCAGAATAAGCTGGGTCGTTTTCCAACTTGATGCACATTTGGGTCAGGGCGTCGAGGATCTCCCGAGCTGACATTCTCTCACTGATGTTGACTTTGAGCATCCCTTCCAGGACGATATAGAGCATGTCATCCATGAAGAGGGACGATCGAGAGCTCCTACGAAGGGATGTGATCAGCTATTGATTAAGGTTAGTGCTTACGAAGACGAGAACAAAGGGATGGAGGACTTACTCTTTGGATCTCAGGCTTGAGTTTCGCCGAAAGCCCACCTCTCCTGTTGAAATCGTACTTCACATAAAAGAAAGCATCTCGATTAGGACTGTTGCTTTCTTCATCGAGTCGAGCGTCGATCAGCTTCGCGATACCGGCTTTGCCATCGTAGAACCAAGCGATGGCTTCTGCAAAGACACAGCCAAGACTCCAGATATCGTAGGCCTGTGTAATGCCCACATTCGTGGTATCGATCTCCGGGGCGCGATAGGCTGGCGTGTGTTTGAGGCCCTTGGGGATATCTCTCTCTTCGGGAGTGCAAAAGTATGAAGATCCGAAGTCCGAAAGAGCGAATCCTGGCCATCTATCATTATCATTGGAGCCAAAGCAGAGGATATTCTCTGGCTTGATATCACCATGGACCCCATGAACGTCTCTAGCTTGGCCTTTCTGTCCATGGATAGTAGATACAGCATCTGCAAGCCCTCTCATCTGCCAACCGAACCATCCAAGACTGCGCTTGTCATTGCTTGGTCTAGGCTGTGTTCTCCAATACGTGGCGAGATCGCAATTCGCAGAAGGAAAGACAAAATGATATTTGCCCTCCATTCTGTAGGTCGCGAAAAGGGGGACAATGTGGGGATGGGGGTTTTGGGCAAGACTCATTCTTCGATAAGCGTCTCGCTCGCGAGCGTAGTCCTGAGAACTTTCACTGTAGATCTTCTTCACAGCGAATGCGACTTCTTTTCTGCTTTCTCCCCCATAGTCGGGAATGTGGCTCAGGTGGATTCCAACTCGAAACACCTGCGACGTCCCTCCGGGCTTTATAGCTTCAACGTCGTCGAAGATGGACCTGGAAGAGTTTCCGAAATCGTAGAATGGCGGATCAAGCGCGTAGTGATCAGCTCCCTCAAAAGTGTCTAAATGACCAACGAAAGTTGCAGTTTCCTGCGACACTTGTACGAGCTCTCTCGATCGCGCAGAAGTTGTCTTGCTAGTATAACTTGGCCGACGAGTTCCCCAAGTTGCCGCTCTAGACGAAGTTGTGCCAGTATCGTGCAAAACCCTGCCAAGCAACTGCCTAGTACTACCGGCGTCTTCAATAGCTCTCTTTGTGGCGAGATCGATGGTCTCTCCCAGGTCCTTAGGAATGATTCCATTGACCTTGAGGAGCTTTGTACGAATCCTGTCGATGACATCTTCAAGCTTTCCCAAAGAGCGAAGATAATTCTCGTGCTCATTGTCCATTCGACAATGAAGATACTGAACCGCTCTCACAAGTTCAGTTGAGGAGCTGATAAGGCTCAGGACAGAAGCAGCAATACCAATGGCCTCCATGATGCACACCACCTGAACTTAAGGCAAAGGGCGTTTCGAAAAGGAAGTAGTGAAATATCCGTTAACCTACCAAAGGGGGGACGTCTTCAAGAAACGTCTCGGAATGAAGATATTGATCCCAATCAGTATGCCAGTAGTTATCCGAAGCGAACAGTCCCATTGGGGTTCGCTATATGCTGGTTTGGAAGTGCCAACAGCGATTAGGCTTGAATGTGGCTTGACAGCATCACCCAAGGCTTATTTGAGCTCTAGAAGATGGTTACTATGCCCGTGTTGCAAAGGCAAGTGGTGAGGAGAGTATTGGCGAGTATGTGAACTTACTAAATAATGTTCAAATAGTGAGTGGGGAGCTAGCAGCGTTGTTTGCGCTGAACGAGATGAATATCGTGCTTAGGTGGAGTTGGGTGACGTTTAGAGTGCGATGTGGTCAGAAAGAGGATGAAGCTCATCCAGCATCCCGGGAGGATTTTTATGAGAAATGAAAGACAAAGATGCGACATTCTGTTCTGGGAAATGGCATCTGGGATATCAGCAGGATGGTTTAGCGCGTATGAGTTCTACGCATATGCGTGGATCTCGACACATCTTACTGGCTGAATGGTGTTGTGGCTTGGCCATTTTCAACCCCCATGTAACTTCTGGCCTGAATCCATCTTCAGTCCGGCTTCGGACTGGGATCGACGTCATTTACCCTTCCTCCTTCATACTCAAGACCTTTCTAACCTGTTGTGATGAAATGGCGTGAAGAATGGGCAGCGTCGGAACCACCGGTAACATCGGAATTAGTGTAGAATTCAAGGATGTATGCTTTTGCATGAGCTGAAGTCGCGCCGCCTTGGCATTATATCTTCATTGGCGGTTGACTTGCCATTATCAACCAGCCCTGCACATCCAAACGCTTGCAAATTCATGTAGCTCGCTGATCTAGCAGAATTTGCCTGCTCTTTATACATGCTATGTCAACTTCGATTATGACCACCAAGTTCCGTTTCGGTTCTGGTTGCGAGAGATGTTGCTTGGCGTATCACCAATGTAGCGGAATCCATTCCCATTAGACATCAGACCACCATGTGAGGCCCCCAAGCATAAATTTAAGGTTAAGGCCATTCGTGAAGTTTTGAACGTTCTTATATATCCTTTACCATGTCCTCGCAGCTATCCAGCAAGGTTACACTTCATCATGGCTATTCAGCATCCAGTAGCTAGAGATGATCAGTTCCAGGCTCATGCTATCGGTCACAGACTTCGCCGCGACGTAACGCCCGAGGAATATTATCAATGCGGTACACCATATCCATAGTCTTGGGGTTCCGTTCACATTACTGACACTTTATAGAATCCGCTTATCAATATGTACGGCAAATGCAACGAAACGAAAAGCTTTGCGCTGACGATGCCTTTTACGACATATGTTCGAGCTGTGTAGGATGCATCAAAGATAATGTCAACTCGGGAAGCCCAAGAGAGTATGTTGAACCAAACTTGGGCCGATACGTCGACTATTGTGCGCAATTCACTGCCCTCACTAAATGGGCCTCCGTGGGAGCTACGTCGGCCACTTCGGCCACTCTTCATAGCACGAAAACCTCTTCGGCTGAGAAAACAGATGGCACACTTATGGATGAAGCGAGCATTACTGGTAGAACTGTGGAGCAGCTGGAGACATTGGTAGCTGGTACCACTAACAGTCAGTTTGAACGACCTCAACTTGATACATAAAGCTCATAAAGTTTAGCTAGTCCCCTGACGACAACGGAAGTCGCCCAACCTGAAGATTCAGCCAGTTCGTCAAATATTCCCAAGAATAGTAAGTGAGAGGGATCCAACTGTCTTTTCAAGTCATACTGATATCCAGCAAGGCTCAAGTTCCAGTAAAGCATGGATCGCTGGTGCTGTTGTTCCCTCTGTGCTTTTCGTTACTACGGCTGTTGCATTTGCGATCTGGTGGCAGAGGCGGCGAAACTGAACACCAAAGACCCCCAAAAGTCCTCATGTAGATGACGTGGCGGGGACATCACGTTTTGATAAACCGGAGCTTGATTCTCAGGGTATTCCGCGACCAAGAAGCAAAGAAGAGGCTACAACAAGCACCCGTACCACTGTACTTGACACTGTCGTCTTACCAGTACCCGCCGAGATGCCTGAAAATGGTTTGAACAGAGCAGAGCTTCAAGGTGAAGCGAAAGGCGGCACAGGAGAAAACCATGGCTTCGGAGCTTACTACGAGCTTCCAGCCAATGAAGCTACAGTATATGAATTGCCTACGAAACTATAACAATCATGAAAGGGAGTATTACTATTCGGTCTTTAAAATAACTTTTTAAGGACATCAATCTAAATGCACTTCGTCTAGACTTGTTCTTAGTCAAGATCGAAAGTTTGTCGTGCGCCGTTCGCTTTCAATGCATTCCATGTAGATTGTAGATAAATATAACCATAATCAATAGGTAAGGCATGCATCGCTTATATAAGTCTGTCCTTTCTAAGCAGGGTCTTTGTCCCATCGTTTCCATCGCGAAGGATCGTAATCCTTCCGACCAAGAGCCTGTTTTCCGACTTCCCATGCACCCATGAGAGGGACTATCAACTACAATAGGAAGCTCAAGTAGAAAGAATACGACGATATGGAGATTAAATTCAGGTCAGTAATTCTGTTGCTGTCACTCTGCTTCCTATCGGGTAGCTGACTTACGCGTTTCTGTTTCAAGCAGGGAATGTTAAATGAGGGTATTGACTCAGCCACTCCAGTAAATTAAAGGATTCATGTTTATCAAGACAACAGAGCTAAAATTAGGAACAGATCTACCCGATTCGCATAACCGATGCACCAATAGTGTCGCATGTCGCAATTTGATCTTATCTTGAGGTGATGTAAGACACCAACAGACTGAGCACGAAATGAGACTTCGAATATGAAAATCCTTCTCATTTCTTGAACGCTGATTTAACCTGTCCCAAGATATAAAACAAGCAGTTCCAGAATCAACGGAATTCCGCAATTCTCTATAAAAAATTCTCTCCAAACCACAAACTGGAACATGACAACTCAAGAAATGTAAGTTGACCTATTGACCGGAACTATGGAGATCTTTCATCTAACACGGCATGCTTGCAGTAATGTCGATGTGCTCGTCATCGGGGCCGGTCCAACTGGTCTGGGGGCAGCCAAGCGTCTTCAACATCTGGTAAATCTTCCCTTCTTAACGGGTGAGACTTTGTATTGACCCTTCTCGTAGAACAGTGTCGACTGGCTCATCGTTGACTCTAACGAGACACCCGGTGGTCTGGCGTCCACCGACACAACCCCTGAGGGCTTCGTATGTATGCTTCCGCCAGCGACCATGGTCTCGTGACTTATTCATCTAGCTCTTCGATGTTGGAGGCCATGTCATCTTCTCCCACTACAAGTACTTCGACGATGTTATCAACGAGGCTCTTCCCAAATCTGATGATTGGTATGAGCACCAGCGTATCTCTTATGTCCGCTATCAAGGACTTTGGGTCCCATATCCTTTCCAGAACAACATCGCAGTCCTGCCCAAAGAGGAGCAGGCTCGTTGTCTCGGAGATCTCATCGACGCAGCCATTCAAGCCCGCGCGCGTTCACCATCTGACAAACCAGCCAACTTTGACGAGTGGAACATTCGCAACGTTGGCGAGAGGCTGAATGAGATTTTTATGCGTCCTTATAACTTCAAGGTCTGGGCCATTCCTACAACCAAGGTATGTACACATATTGATAACACGTTTCTTATCTTATTTAACTTGCATAGATGAACTCTACTTGGGTCGGGGAACGTGTAGCCGCGCCTAATGTTAAGCTTGTGACTACCAACGCTATTCTGGGTAAGGCAGCCGGTGGTTGGGGACCTAATGCAACATTCCGCTTCCCGGCTCGTGGGGGTACGGGAGGAATCTGGACTGCTGTTGCCGATACTCTTGACCAAAGCAAGACTCGTTTTGGAGATCATGGAGCAGTTACAAAGATTGAAGCTGATGCTAAGACGGTCTATCTGAAGGATGGTAAACAGCTTGTCCTCTCGTATTGAGACTTCCTGCTGACAAGAGTACAGGAACCACAATCAAGTATGGTGCCCTCATTTCGACCATGGCTGTCGATCAGCTCGCAAAGGCTCTGGATGATGCCAGACTTCAAAAGTCACTCAAGCCACTTTACTACTCGTCTACCAATGTGATTGGTGTCGGCATTCGTGGAAAGCGGCCCGATCGTATTGGTGATAAGTGCTGGGTAAGCGGTTATGAGAGACCCATGATGTCTTGAAGCTCACATGGTCACAGCTCTATTTCCCCGAAGACAACGCCCCGTTCTACCGAGCTACAATCTTCTCCAACTACTCCCCCTACAACCAACCCAGCGAAGATGTTAAACTCGCCACGAAGCAGCTTGCCAATGGTGACAAGCCTGCTTCATCGGAACCAGCTTCTGGTCCATACTGGTCAATCATGCTCGAAGTCTCAGAATCTTCGTATAAGCCCGTTAACCAAGCGACTTTGCTCGAAGAGAGTATCCAAGGTTTGATCAACACGGACTTACTCAACCCCGAGGATGAGATTGTCAGCACGTATGTTCGCCGATTCGATCACGGATATCCAACCCCCACTCTTGAACGCGACGCTGCTCTCTCTGAAGCTTTGCCTTATCTATATGACAAGGATATCCTGTCGCGAGGTCGATTTGGAGCTTGGAAGTATGAGGTTGGCAATCAGGACCATAGGTGAGCCACTCATTATCCCAACATTGCAGGATTTGTGAGCTAATCACTTGTCACAGTTTCATGCAAGGTGTCGAGGCTGTTGACAATATTATCTCTGGCGGTCTGGAATTGACCCTCTCGAACCCCGATTTTGTCAACTCTCGGAAGAATACTGAGCGTCGTCTGGCTGGTGTCAAGGGTGCTCGGAAGTAGGACTCTTGCTGAAACGTCTGTGTCTGTAGCATCGCGTACGCACAGATCCGTTCTGCATGGTAAAAGTGGTATTCTGCTTCTCTCAGCCGATGCTCTTTCTTCTTATACTTCTGTCCTGCAACCTATTATTCGTGGAAAGGGAAATTTCAGTCATCCATTATCTATGTCCGAGTTGTCACCGGTCAATACATTTACATTGCATAAACTTAAAAACCTTGACCTTTTTCGAGCTATTATACGACTGGCCTTTGCACTTTTAACCTCGGCACTAAATCGTCTCCTCTGAGTTTTCTCCGACAAGCATAACCAGAATTAGATTTAGGCCCTTAGCATACCCGTCGTTTGTGGTGGAATTTGCTTTAGCGGTGACATAGCATGAAGATCACCTCGTATGGCTTTTGTGCCAAGCATACCCCTGAGGGTCCGTGAGCGCGACTGAGTGCCTCGCCTCGACTTCAGTATGGGGCCCATGAGCCTGAATCTCGTAAAGATTAAAGAGAAGAGACGAACTGGAAAAAAGATAAAAGGGAACATCTCCCAAGTCTTTACGCTAGAGAAAATATTATCCTTACTCCTTGGTATTCTGTCGTTAAACATTAAAACTTTGCAGTCGTTTTCACCCCGGTCCAAAATGAAGTTCACGTCCATTCTCGCCCTCGCCGGCGCCATTACCCCAGCTATCGCTGCTCCCGCCAAGTCTGACAAGACTTGCTCGAACCCTGCAAAGAGAATTGAGTGGCGGGAGCTGGATGCTGCTGATCAGCAGGGCTATATCGATGCTGTTCTGTGCCTCAAGACTAAACCCTCTCGCATGGGTCTCAAGTCCAGCTTGTACGATGACTTCCCTCATCTTCACTTCCAGCTCAACTCCTGGAGCAAGTGCCACCTGATGTATTTAGTGTAACCTTTTATTAATATGATGCAGTTTATGGTGGTTCTCCTTTCCTCCCTTGGCACCGATACTTTGGTGTAGTCTACGAGCGAGCTCTTCGTGACTGCGGCTATGAAGGTCCATACACGTGAGTACTATACAAGCCCATCGCTAAGTAACCTCTGACTGAACTATTAGCTACTGGGACTGGACCAAGGATACGGAGGGACTTCGTCTCTCCCCAGTCATGGCATCAAAGAACGGCTTTGGCGGCAACGGAGACGCTGAAAAGACCGAGAAGTCTGCCTCGGGAAGTACACTTAAGTGTGTAACCGACGGTCCATTTGCAAAGCTGCGACCCGAGTACCTCGAGACTGAGCCAAGGAAGCTTACCGACGGTGGCCATTGTCTGCACCGTAACTTGCCTGAAGTTGACGAGCCTGATGCTTTCGCAACCATGGCCAAGGTCTTCGGACCCGAAGGAGTTGAGGAAGTCCAAGCCTCTGGTAATTGGAGTCACTATGCCCGGTCTCTAGAGGGTGGACCGCATGGTAGCATTCACGCTTGTCTCGGTGGAGAGATGAACCCCACCACTTCTCCCAATGGTTAGTGACTCTCATATGCTATTCGTTCGGTAACTGACATATAATAGAACCTCTTTTCTTCTTGCACCATGCGCAGATCGATCGTCTCTGGTGGTTGTGGCAGAAGGAGAACTCCACCAGACTCACTGAGTACAACGGCCTTTACCAGAACATCAACCAGACCGAGCAGCACGAAGTCAGCTTGGACGATGTCTTGATGATGGGTGGTATTGACGAGGACCTTACTGTTGGTGATGTTATGGATACCACTAAGGGTCCCTTGTGCTACACCTACTAGGCTATACCAAAGGTCTCCTGGTGAGCCATTGGGGATGCTCGTTCACCAATTCCTCCCGGGCTTAGTGGCCAGGCAGCCAAGCCATGTCAATGAGTGAGATTCAACTCTTAGGGATTGGTTGATCACATTGCAATATTTTCACGTCTCTCGGAGACTCATATAGATTACATGATGATAGATACCAAATGAACTACTATTCTATACCCTGCATGGTCGGGAATTATGCAGGAAGTCTATACTCTTTTTGTTGTCAGCTTGCGATACTGTTTGTAACAAATCGGAACTTTGGGAAATAGCTAGTTCAACCTCATTGGCGGACTATATAATCACTTTCGCGTCCGGATCTGAGAAGCATATTTGAAGGCTACCTTGACTATCATTTCCTATTACAGTTCGTCTGATCTAGCTATACGAGCTGTAGAAGGGACTTTGGGAGAAGAGAACCGCACGGGCCCTACTTACGATGGCTGTTATCACGCTTTGATTGGACAACAGAGGGAGAGTGATTACTTTAGGTTGAGGTGGTGAATACATCTCAGCCCAATTTCTAAATAAACTTGTCCAGATTCCTTGCTCCCAAGCCCAGACAACTGCGGTCACAAGACTGGTTGGAACAAAATACCCAGTTGAGGGTGTTAATCCCGAGACTTCATCCACATTTCGGATTTATGTACCAAAGTGACAAAGACGACTGAATGTAGACTAACTTGAGACGTGCTAGGGTGTTTCATGAACCTGGCTTGCGGTGATCCCTTGGGATATTTTTAGAATCTCGGCCAACTTTGATCTTACTCGAGAAACACAAATAGTTCTTGGATCTTTGCGTATCATTTCGTGGGGCATTAAGCTAGCCGATACAATAAAGGCTCGTTTATCATATTTGACTCCCTATTAGTGTATTATCTCTATAATTTATATAAGTATAACATAGCGTGCTCCTGATATACTTGTTGTTTGAAGCATTCGACCTTACAAAGTCTTCATCCACAAGACTCAGGTTGAGCAGCCTCCATTCTAGGCTTCCTCGTATGTCCGTTTCTCTGTTCCAGCTTCTCATTTATCAAAAATTGAATCATATCAGCTATCCAGATCTCGAACGCCTGGGACGCTCTTATACTCAAAATTGACATCGTTATGAAGCTCAAAATCTTTGGCACTTCCATGAGGATCCCACGCCTCTTCATGCTTCCCCAGATGCTCCTTCAAGCCTCCAAAGAAGTTTCTCAAGCATAATATGGCGAATATTGTCGTCATGAAGATGCTCAAAACACTCATGCAACCAAAGGCGGTGAACGAGTTGATTGAACCTCCCCTTCTCCTCATGCTGTCCAGTTGTGCATCTATCAACAGGTACAGCAAGTAGCCAAGCATTGCTAGATACATGGCGATAGAGAAGCACATGCCAATGCGGTGCTCTGACTTGCTGAACATTATCGACGCAAAGATGATGGCGACTGCAACACCGAGAAGGGCAAGGTTGACTATAAAGTAAGTGCCTCCATTGCGGATTCCTCCGAGAACAGGAAAGCAGAAAACCAGCACAAAGCAGATAATGAAGTAAATGTCCGTTTTGGCGAGCATGACAAAGATCTGTACAACCAGGTCAGCTACCTCCCATCCCAGAGATGGGTATATGGGTCAACATACATGGTGGGTAATTCGAATCTTTCTCATCCTCGCATCTGCGCCTACATTGCGATATGACTGCCATGAGAAGTATTGCTTCAGATACCAAGCACTGATAGGCAGAATCAAGGTGCAGACGGCGATGATGATAGGAATAACCAGTAGAATCTTGCCAATGACGGGCCAAATGTCCATGTCAGTATTCACCAGATGATCACCGTTAACGTCTGTTGAGGTCTTTAATGAATCGATAGCCTCCTCGATATCCCGTCGCTGGAAGATGGCAAGGGGTAAAAAGCCCGCGTTGACCACGCACGCGAGCATCGCTTGGGCTGTACTCCTTAACCTGATGGCATCCCACATGAATAACAAATGGAAAATAAAGCCAAAAATAAAGATGGAAAAATTAGTTGGAATGCTGTAGCCTCGCGGGACTTGGATGACTGTTGGTTTAGCGTATTCCTGCCATTGTAAAAGGACAACACTGCAACTTGAGGTCAGCGGTGAAAACAGCCACAAAAATGTGAGCCTTGCCTTTGAAGAAGCGTTACAGTGATACCCTGAAATAGACCGATGGATAGAAAGGCCGCTGCAGCTGGCGCTGTATGTATCTTGTTGACGATGGCAGACATTGTGTCTGCGCGAATATTCACGAAACCTCGTATTCAGTGATATGATTTCGGTGTCAAAAATCAATTTATTGATTGAGCGTTGAATAATCGTCCGGCATTGATGGGAATTTTAATTGCCGACCCTAGGCTCAGGGGCGCTCTCGGACCTCTAGCTTTAGGGGAGCGGGTCTGCCAAGGCTGCGAGATCCCGTATTTTCGGTATTGGATGAAACTCTCTGGAAGAATTATACTGGGCTTGTGGAGAAGAATGTCAGCAGAGTTTATCATCATGCCCACTATTCAGCACAACGTTTTCCAGAATCTTGGGTGATGGATGATTTGGGCGTCGATCTGTGTAGGATTCTAGTAAGCGACAACTCATCTCGACAGCCCTATCTTCAGCTGAGCGCCAATGAGAAGCATGGCTTCAGCGCAAGGACCTTTGGGTCGCATGAGCGGCAGGGAAATCATGTCTAAACTCTATGGATCAATTGGAAAATCAGTGGGAATTGTCCGGCAAAGGAAAAGGGCCATGAAAACAGCGGAACAGCAACTCAACAGCTAGACACTTGGCGGTTTCAAACGGGGCTAAGCGACGTCTTTGTGACGTCGATCAAACGTATCTTGAAAATGTGAAATTTTTTATTATTTTTATATGACTAACAATAACCCGCTGTTGCAATCGCTCACTCGAAAACTTTACCACGCGATCCTTGCCACAAAGGACTTGGGATACGTCCTCACGATGAACTTCCTGATCTCGTCGACCAAAAGAATACCCAGTCCAAGAGGAATAGGAATGAGCCAGAACTCAATTGGCACAGACTCAGTGTCGAAGAGGTTCTGAATGCCGGGGACCTCGGTGACGAAGATGGCGATGCACAAACTGATGAGCATGCTGAGGATCAACCATGGGTTGCGGTGAGCCTTGCTGAGAGGGTTGGCTTGAAAAATACTCAAGCGGCGGTTTCGCACAGCAAGGATGTTGCCCCATTGGAGGAAGACAAGAGTGACGAAGTAGACACACTGTCCAGTGTTGTTGAACTTGGTGAGCTCAGCCGCAGTGTAGCCGCGATATCCCTCAGTGTAACCCTCGAAGAGGAAGAAGAGCTCTGAGACGGGCATCTTGGCGTACTTCCACATGTAGAAGAAGAACATGGCATGCGCGGTGATGGTCTCCATGAAACCGGTGAAGAGGTAAGCTTGGGTGTAGATCTTGGCGTTGATGAGGTGATCGCGCTTGTGGTTGCGGGGAGGAAGAGAGAGAAGATCGAATTCTTCCTTCTCCATGATGAGAGAGAGACTGAGGAAGAGATCGGTGAAGACACAGATGATGATCATGAGGAATGCGCTGAGGGGGAGGGGAACACCGAACCAGACGTTGAGAATGACGGGCCAGATCTCGGACCAACTACCGGCGGGGAGGAGGTATGAGATGACCTTTTGGAGGTTCTGGAAGACGAGACGACCGAGGCGCATGGCGTCGATGATGGAGTCGAAGCGGTCGAGGAGGACAAGATCAGAAGCTTCAATGGCAACGTCGCTACCTGTGACGATAGCGACACCAACATCAGCAGCGCGAAGGGCGGGAGCATCGTTGACACCATCGCCAGTAACAGCGACGACGTTATCACGCTCTCTAAGCTCAGTAACGATACGCAGTTTCTGCTCAGGTGTAGTTCGCGCAAAGACAATCTCCTCATAGGCACAGACAACATCCCAATCCTCTTGACTCAGTCGGCTGAGGTTGGCACCTTCAAGAAGCAAGCTGCGCTTGATGATCTCAGCGCGATCGCCCTTCTTGGCCTTGCGCTTGGGCTTCTCGCTCTCAGTGATCTGATTGCCGGTGTAGAGAGTGTCAATGGTGTCGGGGTCTTGTTGGCAGGAGAAGATACCAGTGTTGCGAGCGATGGCAGCGGCAGTGAGGGCGTAGTCACCAGTGACCATGAAGAAACGGGTACCCGCACGGCGACATTGCTCAACGGTAGCGGGAATCTCAGGACGGTGAGGGTCAATGATGCCGAGCATACCGACGACGGTGAGGTCTTGAATAGCTGAGTGGGTGATCTCATCACTGAAACTGTTTGTTCCAGCGACGGCGCGGGGGGTGATGAACTTCTCACACAAGACGATTACACGCTCGGCGCGACGCGATGCCTCATCTTGGATTTCTTGGAACTTGATGCGGGCGTCGCGGGTGAGTGTCTCGACGGAGTTGGACTCTGAGGACCAGTACTTGGTGCATCCGGCGAGGAGGATATCCGGGGCACCCTTGATGATGACACGGTAGGCACCGCGTTCATCGTCGGATTGAAAGACAGTGAGCATCCACTTGTTCTTAGAGTTGAAGGGTACTTCGAAGATACGAGGGAGTGTCTTTCGGAAGCTATCGCCAGAAGGGCCATATGCAGCGAAGCGGAAGACAGCGCTGTCGGTGGCGTTACCTTGGATGGTACGCTCGTGGAGGGGGAGGTGGTTGGTAGTAGGGTCGAAGGATGCATCGTTGCAGAGAAGGGCGGCACGCTGAAGAGCAGTGGCAGGCTCAGTGACGTCCTTGCTGTGAAGCAAGTGCTGAAACTCATCCGAAGAGTCAAACTTCTTGTCGACAAAGGCAACTGAGCTGACAAACATCTGGTTCTGTGTAAGAGTACCTGTCTTGTCTGAGCAGATGACGTTCACACAACCGAGTGTCTCGACAGTTGATAGACCCTTGGGCAAGACATTGACTGCCTTCATGCGTCGAGCGATCATCATGAGTGTCAGGGCGACAGCGACGGGCATACCTTCAGGGATGAAGGCGACGACACATGCCATGACGTTGACGAGCATAGCTGGGACACTCATGTATGCGTGATGATCAACGCGAAGCCAACCGACCCAAGTGAGGAGGATGGCAAGGGCAAGGATGATGGTCATGCAGACGATGATCATGACGAAGCGGGTGATCTCGCGTTGGATAAGAGCAGCTGAGTCCTTGACACCAGAGGTAGAAGTGGCGATGCGACCCATGACCGTGCGACCACCAGTGAGGATAACAACACCAACACCGTTACCGTTCATAACAGTCGTACCCATAAAGGCAATGTTACGACTCTCGAGGAAGTTGGCATCAGTTGCATCAACAGCACCCTCGATCTCATCAGACTCTCCAGTGAGGACTGATCGATCGAAACGAATGTCACCAGAGTGGCTAACGATTCGAAGATCAGCTGGTACCTTGTCGCCAACCTTGAGATGAACAACATCACCAGCGACAAGCCCAACAGTAGGCAAGCTCTTGAGCTCACCATCACGCTTGACCATCGCGAAGGAAGGAAGCAAGTCGAGAATGGCATTCATGGTCTTGGCTGTAGACCAGTCCTGGAAGGCGGAGAAGCCAGCTTGGAGGAAGATGACGATGAGGATGAGGACGGCAAGGGATAGATTTTGGTTCGAGGGAGGATTGCTGAGGGGTTGCCAGCACAGAAAGAAGATGATGGCACCGACCCAGAGAACCGAACAGAAACCACCAAAGATGTACTTGAGAGTTCGTTTAATGTAGTTCGTCTTAGGATGAGGCAGCGTATTCTTTCCATCGCGCTCAAGACGCGTCGCAGCAGAACTCTCAGACAGGCCAGCGCCAACATCAACGTTGAGCTGCTGGCACAACTGCTCCGTCTGAAGTTCATGGTACTGCAGTTTCGAGAAGTAATCCTCGTCTGTCTTTTGTCCAGCCGCTGCTTTGGAATCTTCGGTGGGCTCGACCTGTTTCGCTTCGGTGACCTGGATGGACAGCGTGCGGTATTCGATCTGAACACCTGAGTAGGGAGAGGTAGGATGGATACGGCTTCGCGAGCTGGAGTGTGAACGGCGACGGGATAGGGAGCGGGAGAGCGTGCGGCCGAGGCGGTGTGCATCGTGTTCTTCACGGCCGCGCTCAGGACCGTCTTGGAAGGTGATGCGTTGGATCTGAGCCTCAGGATCAGACTCCTTAGTCCCACGGATGTCAGGATCAGACATGTTGACAGATAATCCTCACGAGGAAGCGTAAAGGGCGGAGAGGGAGAAGAAGCAGAGAAGGAGAGAATCAGTGTGAGAAGATGGGAGAAATTCAGGTATGGGGCACAGCTACGAAAGTGGTATTAATACAGAACCAACAACGAGGTCTAGACAATTCCAAAAGCCCGTGATCATCATCTCGCGAGGCCTCTTCCCAAATAAGAGGTATCCATCAAAACAAGCGCTCGTAAAATACCGCAGTTTCCTGCTGAAACGTGGTGAATTGTAGTTGTAAGTGAAGCTATACAAGAGGTGTACATCCTCCGCCAGCGATAATATCGTGTGGTTGACGGTAGGTGTCGGTATGGGACTACAAGCCAGGGGGGGCCAGAGCTGACGGGCGCAAGAAGGGGAGAGGGGGCTAGGGGAAATGAGTGCCGTAGGTAGGCTAGTCTGTCTAGCTAGGTGGGTAGGTAGGTCAGTCTGCTGGTGATATCACAGCGTGGGGACTCAGCCCCGACTCCACAGTTTTTTTCGTTACTGTCTGGTGTGTGTGCAAAGTATTTGGCTCATATTGTTCTGCATGAGCTGGGACTTTGATGAGGGGAGGAGTAAAAAAAAAGGGATCTGGCTGACGTGGGTGGCCCTGACTAACCACGTTGGAAGAAGCCGTTTGTCAAGGGAACTTTTGGAACGAGCACCACTGAACGAGCACCGACCCAGTTTCCAAGCTCCTGGAATTTACTCTGCCACGTTTATCGAAATTTGAGAGAGGACGAGCGAGAAACTATCCTTGGAGGCATGGACCCTGAATCTCAGGTTGCATCTGGTCCAAAAGGCGTGGAAAATAAGGTCCTCGAAATAAGCATTTTGACGTGGGCGTAGCCGTCTTGGCATGGTCATAGCGCCCTTGGGATCGGGGCCAGTTGGGCAGTGCATGAAATGGATCTAGGCTCAAGACGGTATATCATCGTCATGAAACCAACACCCTTTCTCGCATGTGAATCGGGTACATGCAAATGGCGCATAGTGAATCTGTCATTTCGGAAAGAAGCGAATCAGATCATTCGTTCTTTGTGCTCTGTGCTCACCGACTCGACGTCGCGGAGGCGGACTCGTTTCTCTCGGAGGCGGGCATCTGACCCCGTTTGCAGTAGCCGCTGCTAACATTTGCCCTTTGACAACAAACAAGATTTCTCGCTTTCTTCCCTCTCATCTCCTTTGTTCTCTCACTTCTGCATTCGGCATCCCGCCCGCCAAAGGCTAGAACACAACAGACTCTTCTCCTGTCTGCAATCCGGCATTTCCCATTGCTAATCGCGGCTTGGGAACCTGTTTTTTTGTTTTTTTTTTCTCGTATACGCATCCTCCAATTGCTGACGTCGCCTGGCAACTAACTTTTCTCACCATCAAAGCCGTTCACCCGGCGCGCCGTTTTAACCGTGCTCACAATGAAAAAAGCCAATCTAAATATTGGGACCAATGCACCAATTAGAGACTTAATTGCTCCATTAAACCAGCAGTTGTCGCATTGAATCGCCGCTCGTAAAAATTGAGAGTCACAAGGCGCCATGACGCGTCACACAGGGCTGAAGATGCTTTGCATCGATGGCGGCAAGACCTCAAGATCCAGATTGCTCATGAGCTTTTAGAGTGAAAGAGAGTTTTATTGCGCTTTCTATTTTGTTTCTACGCCCGAGAGCTTCAATGCAAGCTCTTCTGGGGGTGGCGATGGTTTTTCGGGAGAGCCAATGGTGTTTGGCGTAAATTTTCCGAACCAGGCATCAGGGTCCAGGCACCAATCGCACTAAGAAAAACTGCTAGAGGCGGATGCCCACGCTTGGAATTTCCTCTGTTTCTCAGCTCTGGTTTGTGGTGTGAATAATACGACAAGCCCTATCGCTGCGGTAGGGCGCGACAGAACCGATTTTACGAAATCGCCAATTGACATGGATTATTTGTGCGCTGAGCTTATCCAGATTTATGATGTCATTTTATTACGAGCAGGTGGTAGGTGCATTGCTTGGCATTACATCCCTGTGTGCTGAGGAATTTCAGCAAGTTTCGAAGGTGTAGGGTAGTCAAGACTTTTATCTGGACAGCTGACGCGAGTGGCTATGCGGCACTTCACTTCGGCCTTCCGCGGGTAACGGCAAATATGTTGATCAGTGCTTGTTACATCGTGAGAGGAGCAGGAATATTCATTATTTGTCAGTTTTCAGTGCATACGTCTGTGACAACCATAATTTCCAACGCTTGAAACGGTCATGCACTTTTACCAAACAGGGTTATGATAAAACCTAACTGAAGGTGAGGGGGGTGAGAAGACTGGCCTATGGAATCGTAGCAATGCGAAATATTCGTAAGGTATACTCTTGCTGAGCCATGACACCAGAGCCCAGTGGTAAGCTGGACTTCTTTCTCAAGACTGCTTGACTAGCTAGGTCAGAACTTCCAAATCCCAATCAATGGTACAGATCCGCATGATCGCGCTTGATCGCATCAGCACCCTTCTCAGCCACCATATAAACCGAGTTCTGGATACGACAGTCCGGAATAACAGGAATGACAGAGGCGTCAATAACACGAAGATTCTTGATCCCATGCACCTGAAGGCTGGGGTTCACCACGCCCTCCTCGATACTCTTGGCGAGACGAGCCGTTCCGCAAGGGTGGAATGAAGTCTGTGACCGATCCAGAACCGTCCTCTTCATAGCCTCGTCATCGTGAAGTGGCATGTCCCAAGGGTACTCGTCCTCAACGATATCCTTGAATCCTTCTCCGTTCTTGAGTACATCATAAGAGAACCGGATCCCTTCGCGCATGGCAATGATGTCGAGGTCGTTGTTAAAGTAATTCAGGTTGATATTGGCTTGTTGTAAGGGATCAGAACTGTTGAGAGTGACTTCGCCGCCCTCTGAGACAGGACGAACGAGATCAACCATGACGGTCATGTAGCTACCTTTGTTAGGGTGCGGGAAGTGCCATTGGAAAGCACTGCCGAAGAGAGGAATAAAGTCAAGCTCGAAATGGGGCTGGCCATAAGGGCAGAAAGGGTCAAGACCATCATTAGCAGCTTTTGCGGCGCGGTATTCGGGAGACTTCTCGAGGTATGAATCAATTCTAGGAAATCCAATCATCTCGAGAAAAGGTGATCCCATTGGTCCGGCATGGCCATTGGCGTAGGCTGACATGACCTTGTCCTGAAGAGCGCCCTTGCGCAGGACATGATTATCCATGGAGTAACTATCCTTGATCTTGAGGACGAAGGGAACACCTGGATGATCCAGAAGATGCTGACCGACATGCGGCGAGTCGACTAGCAAAGGGATGTTATGCTTGGCTAACTCGGTCTTTGGTCCAATGCCGCTGAGCATAAGGAGCTTCGGGGTCTCAAACACGCCCTGAGATACGATGACCTCGCGGGTAGCGTAAAGGTCGAGCTCCTCCCCAGAGGCTGTGATCACAGTCACGCCTTTAGCAATGCGGTCTGCTTGGTCGATAATCAGACGCTTAGAGTGAACCTCGGGGAAAATGGTGATGTTAGGTTTGTCCGCAACCGCAAGGAAACTGCCCGATCGTCTGCCTTTGTAGATCGTGTTGACGCTATGAACCAAACCGCGCATTGTCCCGTCAAAGATATTCTCAGAGATAGGCTCGCCGGTAGATTTCCAAGCCTTGGTGAGGAGTTCTCGGAATGGTTTCATCTCTGGCATAAGCTCTGCGTGGGCAATAGGAATCGGGCCTCCTGCACCAATCTTCTTAAGTTCAGGGGCATATAATCCAGCATCGTCATGATAAGTCACACTCTTTCTCAGATAAGGAACAAGAGGCTCCCAAGTCCATTCTTTTCCACCGTATTCCTCCCACATATCAAATGTGCCCTTAGATCCAGGTACCCAAGAGAAATAATTCAGCGACGAACTGCCGCCAAGGGCCTTGCCGCGGGTATTAGGCTTCTCAATACGTTCATAGTCGTCGCGTTTGATCATAGTTGTTTTATAGGCCCAGTCGTATTTGCTGCCTCGGATGTCCATTGCGAGTCCTGGGGTACGGATCTCTTCGTTGTCTTTGGAGGTCCCGATGCCTGCCTCGATGACGAGGATTCTGGCATTGGGGTTCTCGGCGAGGCGGGCGGCGACGATGTTGCCGGCTGTACCGCCTCCGACGACGATAAAGTCGAAATAAGCACCGTTATTGACAGCCATGTCTGATTATGAGAATGTCAGAAGATATGTTGAATTTGAAGTTATGTCTGATTGTGCTGATATGCTGAATTTCACAAGGCTAGACGTCAGTCCTTATATGCTTGCGGATAATGATAGTGCTCCCCGCGCTCTTGCATTTTGCCTGCCATGAAGAAACAGCGATTGATGCTGAAGAAAATGTATGTGATTGGCGGAATACTCTTGCCATAACTCAGCGCCTCGCATACAAATGGAGTTCGCAAACTTTACGTGCCCTCGTAGCCAATGGGTAGCTCTCTCGAATGCGCCAAACGATAACTGTCAGCGCTAAGTGTAATCCCTGTCTTCATCTCTTGCCCCAACATGGGAACTGATCGTAGATAAGATATCCTCGGATCTTTCGGATCAGTTCAGCTGAAAGACGAGCAAGGAACATTGTTGTCAATTGCCAAGTTCAGAAACACTATTCTACCAGTCACGACATTGGCATATCTACTGAAAACGCGTTGCAGAGTTCAAGAGTTTCATCGTCTGCGGATCTTATGCACATAACATATCAGAAGGAGCAATAATTGGTATCTCATGGGTGAACATGTAATGATAATTGGCTCTCGTTGGTTTGTCAGAGCTGAGTCAAGCCACAACTTGACAAGCATGCATAATGACGACCAGAAAGGCAAGTTTATAGATGGCAGCACCACCGAGTTCTGAATATTACTAAGTTGACTCAAAGCTTCCCATAGCCTTGATGAGTGGGTAGAGAAGCGTAAACTGGTGAGCGTGAAGTTTTTGGCGGCATAATGTAAGTGCTTATTGAATATGTCTGCTATTTCCTAGGCCGTGATAGTAGCCGAGCTTTAAATATTTAATTCTGAGTACTGGAGATGATGATAGGCGCATCAAGCGCATACAAATTGGGTGGTAGTTCTGTCAAAATTATGCTTACGAGGCTCTACTGCAAATCTTTCGACCATGGCTAGAACCTGATACGATAAAGCTTTCAGCATTCGCAGCTGAACATCATATTCCGCAGTATTCTCGGCAATTGAAGTCCTGTTGATGAAGCCGGCCTAATGCCCTGGATGGCCGTTGATATCACCTTGTGGCTTGAGCTATTCGAGTCCGTAGATCAGTCATCCAACGGGACTGGAAATGATCACCAGCCATCACCGGATTCCGAATGCCGGTCCCGCCAACTACTGCGTTAGGTAAGACTACTTGTTCAATAAAACGAGTAAGCCACAGAACAATCCCGGAAGTCACTAGCGATTTCTGTATGAACCTTTTCATACACAGGCGATGCATGGACTTGCTACGTAACGAGGCTATGATGGATCGGACGAGACCTGTCAGTAGGTAAGCAGCACTTCTTGATTGGAGTCTCTGGAACAGAACCCTGTTGGCTTGCACGTTGATGATGAGGCCGCCTATCCCCAATTACTTACACTGGCTCATGATCTAACGGTCAGGGGCGGTTCTTATGTTATGGTGGCTTAACTATGTATATAGTGACAACGCGGAGATATAAACTTCGGATTTATCAATAGTCAGGGCTTATGAGGGATATCTTAACCAGATATCAAGCCAGCAGATTGAGAAATCCCGTTTAACTCAAACTGACTAGAAATTGGACTTCTGAGCCTTTCGAATATTTTTAAGCCTCATCCATAACCAGAATAACGCTGGCAATGCGGAAAGTATTCGGAGAAATGTGCGCCTATTCAGTGGCCGTGAGATTTGAGCTTCACCTCCAACGCTATACGCATCTGGCGAGTAGGAAATACATTCTTCAGCATTATCGAAGTTTGTTTAGTTAATTCTCAGAGTTAATGCAGATTTAGCCTTGAAGGAGTTGTAAGTCCACGGGAAGCTGGAAGACAGGGTCGAGTTGCACCAACTTCTCAACATTTTCTCGGCCTTTAATAATTTCGACACCTTCCCCATGGTGCCAACGCACATATTCCAGGGTTTTCTTTGATAAAAGAAAAGCCACGAAAATGTCATCCTTTTGATCACATGCTCTTCTGAGCCGTGTCAGAGGTTTGAGAGCAGATCATTGGTTGAGTAGTACTACCAAATCCGGTCAAGCGAGCCGTTCAGGGGTTCAAGGATGCGAAATGTCTCGTCTAGGGGTGTTCTAACAGGGTTTCTATGCATTAGTCTTTAGACCTCGCAGTAAGCGTTACTGAACTAAAAGGGTTTGGCCTTGCAGGATGGAAGGGTTGTATTCGTGATTTTTTGAGCAATCTCCATCTGCAGCTAATGCTGTCAACTGTAGATCTCTTGCCCAGGCTCCACCATGCTTTGGCATTGTTTGCCTCCTTATGTTGCGAAATGTACTGGTGTAGGTCATATGAGCTGAGGTTCTCTGAAGCCGATCAACAGCATTTCTCATTTCATGTCAACTGAGAAATGGGGGTTCCTATCGAGTCGAGCTAAGCCCAAAAGAATACATGAAACCCAAGTATAGGAGCCAGAACCACCATAGTTCAGATGTAACTACCCAGACGCCTTCACTGCCCAGATATAGTCGACAATAAGATATCAGGGGTATATTTCTCCTCGAAGAGGTTTTGTTCACCGCCACTTGCTCGGCATAAAATCTCCAAAAGGCATCGCTCCACAGTATACCGAGCGCCACCAGTCAAAGATGCAATGAGCGTCGTCATATTTCGAACGTAATCCGGATCCAGCCCTGTTCCTTCTGATGTAGTGAAGTGGAAAAAGAGAATGCTGTGCAGGTTCTCGAGAGAACCATGCCAGGACGGCATGTTTGTCTCAAGGAAGAAGTTGAGCAGATCCAAGTTTTGAAAGGTCCAGGCCTCTTTATGACAATTTCCAGTGTCGTGGGGTGATTCAAATGGTGATTTTTGTAAGAGGACGCAGATGAACAGCAAACAGGCAAGCCGGGTGAGTTCTAGGTCGCTGCAGAGCTCTGGACGGCCAGTATCGAGTTCGTGATCTTGGCGCTGAGTCTTTAATAGCAAGATAGCTTCGTGAAACGCCGAGTAATGCGCCGCGGTGGTCCTCAAAAGGTTCGTTCGGAATGTGCCCATGTCTTGGATGAACGAAAGTAGCCATAGGCTCCGAAGCTTTCGTAGGTCGCTTCCCTTTCTTAGGATGGGATGTAACGGGAGCTCCGAAGTATGAGTGAGCAGTTCTTGGATTTGATTGGAACAATCGAACCAAGTTGGCCTTGCCATCAATGAGACCCTGGGGATATTAGCATCTCAACAAAAGAAAGGAGAAATGAGGGGCCCACAGGAAGGTCGTTAGCTCAAGCCTCCAGTTACTGCTGAGTGCTGCTATACCGCCCCGAGCCTCGAGGAGATTCATCAGACCTTTGTGATGGATGATCCATTCAGCCTCGGTTCCCCAATACCTCTAAATCTCCTGCCATTAGTATTTCAGATCCAAGGGAGGACAGACATTTAGGCATACCTCAAAGGTCAAAAGACGTAGGATAGCAGCCAAAACGTCGTCTGTTACTGCGCGCTCCGGGTCTTGCATCCAAAGCTGAACGATCCTCACCGCCTCGCTCTTGAACTCTAGAGCTACTTCTGATTGACTGAAACCTTGCATCCGAGAGAGATGTGCAGCTGAAAGCGCCATGAGTGCATTGAACGATGCTGGATTGGACAGGTCAAGGGGCAGCCATACATCACGCATAGGACTGAAGGCCCCATCAGGGGACGGCCCAAACGTCATAGCGGCGTGAGCGCTAAACCCTGGTGAGAATAAGTACTTGTCTGTTTTGTTGAGACAATAAGACTTACAATGATGAAGAAGCTTGTGATGTATGACTGATAGCTTCATGGGTAATTGATCGAAAGGATCAAGCCTGCTCGACCCAAACGCCAGATTCACCCCTGAAAGTATCTGACACGGAATGCCTTCCAGATCTGATTGACGTTCGTCGTTAGGTATCAATGCTGTGTCAGACGAGGCATTGGTGTTCAGTACTGAGCTGGAGGACTCGGAGTTCTCATCAGACATTGTCCATTGCGTCTTCGGAGTCGGTAATAGCGTATGCTGAGTGCGCTTCTGTCTTTTCTGTTTCTCTTCGTTTATCGTTTGTCGTCTATTCTTCCAATGCTCTCGCATAGCATGGCTTCGAAGTTCTCTCTTATTGCTTTCATTTTGAACAAATGCGAATTCTTTTTGTGGGAGGTTGTCGTCACTGGTATTCTGCGATGAGTTAGAATTGGTCGCCATGATCTCGAATGCCTTATAGCTAAATCATACAATTAACCACAAAAATACGCTTCATCATCGTGGACAGAGCCGCATCTTATAACCAATAAAGATAGAATTTTCAAGCGAAATGAGTCCAGATCTTTTGTACGTCATCCGGTAATGCCGAATCTTGTTGTTGATGTTTAAGCTCGATGAGGCTCTGAGATAATGCGGATATTGAGTCCCGGCGTTCGGTATTCGGATTTGGTGTGTTCTTGTGTCTTCTAGAAGAGGATTATAGTATTACCGGTCCGGATCAATCATCGTCGGGCTTTTTTCGGATTTAGTTAGCCATGCCTCAAGAGCAATAGCTTGAAAATCAGGACCGGGCCGGTTTTCAACAGTTTGCATGCACTCTAGCAATCGATAAGGTTAAGGATCTTTATCTTATCGATTAGTCCAGCCGGTTGCTTCCTTATCAGCAAATCGTGGAAACAATTCATGTTTACAGGACCCTGCTGACAAGATGCTGTCATCTTTAGGCGAGGCAAAAGCCTCCGCCTAGCTTAGCCCCACGGTCTTCTTCTCTTGCCTTTCGCTGTTCTTCTTCTTGAAGCTCTCGTCAGTGCCCAAAAAGGAAAATTTCTTCCCAGTCAGAAGGTTTTCTTCAATCTTCACAGAGGGGATCTTTCATGACTACCCTCCGGGAGGGGTTGCAGCCGGTTTGCCTTCCGCGACCCTTCCGCGACCCTACCCCGGGCTTTCTCAAACAGAGGACAACCCAACCCACCACCTGCAGCTCTGGCAATGGATGTAGGCGAGAGTTGGCTGCTGATCCCACTGAGTCTCGGCCAGTCGGTCAGTCAGGCCAATTACCTAGCTGGTTGATTAGTGTTTTGACCTCTGTCTCTTGCCGCAATTTTGCGAATAGCTTCACTTTAAGTCAAGGTCCTGTGGGGTTTTAATGAGGCAATGGCTGAGCTGATCGACTCAAGCTGTCCAACGGCCGAACATCGAATTCGGTGGTAAACCATCTTGAAGGCGAAGCTGAAACGTGCGCTTCTCAGTACGTTCCCAAGTTGCCTTTCTGTTGCGACTTTGCCTAAGGATACGAGAAAATACTTTCAGAGACATGAGTTGCTGAAACTATACTTATGCTTATTGCAAAGGGGCATCCTGTATACACCCTCGATGCTAGTCAAAATGATAGTCTCGTTCAAAAGAATGGACTATAGGGAGGTAGGGAGGAAGAAGGTCAATTTGCTGTGGCAGTCCCATCAGAGTTCGCCTGATTTGAGCTCAGATCAATAAAGGGACTCCAGGGGGAGAGAAACCACACTGACTTGCCCTACACCGCAGAGCCGACGAAAACATGAACTGTTTCATATTGTAACATTTACAGATGCTTAGTGTACCAAGCTTTAATCCCGTTATTCTAGATTTGTCTATTTGTTATTTGCACAACTCTAAGATCCAGGCCGCTTTGAACCACGCTTCGCGGTATTGTCTTTCGCCTGTGACCGCAGATCCTTAACTATTCCCTCATTATGCTTTATCAGTTCATCAAGAACCTTTTGAAAAGACAACAACCCCGTATTATTTGCCCGTCTTTTTCTCGACGTTGTCGATGCTGTATCGCTCTGCGGGGTGATCGGTCTCCAGCTTGCAGAATGCAATGCTGATATGTCTACTTCGGAAAGTAATGGCTCAACAATGTCTGGACACTTCACGATTTAGATTAGAAAGGGTTTGGAACTGCCAAAGAGTTTTCATTTTTGACATACCGACTGGAGACTTAGAGAGTCTTGACATATTGCTGGCTGAGACTCGAAAAGATGTTGAGGCAGATCTTGCGGATAGCTCAAGCAGTCCTGCACCGGAATACCAGTAGCTTGGGCTTGAGTAGAATTCAGGGTGTCCCAAAAAGTACAGAACCACTGGTACAGAAACGCAGGCTCGGTCTTTGCTCTTGATAGATCCTCTAGATCTGTGAGATATGGTTCCTCACATGGTGACGAATATGAGCTCCCAAAATCCGAGTCTAACAGAGAGGGTGTGGCATTACGCGGCTCGGTAGTGCATCGCTGAGCCGCGGCGTGCATAACTTGGTGCCGCAGGTTATAATCGGAGTTAAGAAGTGCTTGTCCACAGCTATACATCCCAGCTGAGAGAAAGTAATCGTAAATCTGGCTATGTAATAAGGCATGATAGTCCATATTGGAAGGCAGCTGGTCAGGAAATGCTTGTTGGACTGGACACATGATGCGGCAGTTTAACAATCGAGTGTGTTTAACGATAACGGCAGAGGGGGCAGTGGGGGAATGGAGTAAATAGCCTGTGCCCCCTATTTACCTATACTCCAAGAAATCGGTATTCTGAGTGAAATTGGCATTCTCTGTGGCGCGAGCTAAACTTGGCGTTTCGCCAGACAACACTCCGATTGCGCCCACATAGCCCGTCTCCCATAACAGATCAATCCGCTCAATAAATATAATTAGGATCTTGCGGAGTGTTTCCAGCCGTTGAAACGGACGTTGCGATGAATCCTTTCACAAAGCTACCGCTAACAGGGTATGGATTGACAAACTTGCCACTATGGAGCTTAACATTCGAGTAACTTGGGCATATATGGGTGGTTGTGAGCCAATTCTCTAAGTAACGTTGCTTAAAACCGTGGTGGCTATCCTGACCTTCAAGGCTTGGTCGACAACCTTAGTGAGAGAAAAGGGGCAAAAGGATCAACAAAAACATGGCCACAGCGATGGATTCCTGCCTACAAACTACTCGAAATATCCCTCACAGTGATAAAGACGTCATCAAAGGAGTGATGTCGATCGAAAATGGAAGAAGTCTAAACCGCAACGGATAAGTTATGTTTCATGAAGCAATTACTCGAATACTTACTGGTTTCCTCGCCGCCGGGCCTCATGAGCACCCCGACGCATGACGTATGTGGCGATCAGATTAGGCGCTGCGACAATTTCCTACACGATGGTTGCTTTCAGGTACTATTTTGAGTCGCCTAAGTCGTATGATTAGACGGTCTGATCGCCCTTCGCGTGCGCGCTACTGAAGGGTAGAGCTGCCGGATTAGCATCACCATTGGGCGATCCGCGGCAGTGAGAGCCGGGGTTGCTCGCTAGAACCTTTCTGGAATGGTGTCGATCTTTTATAATTGCGCTTCGCAACCTACGGCTGAATGGAGATGGTTTGACTTTTGATATATGCTGCCATAAACTCAATGATAGGTAGGGATCAGTGCATCCAGTTTCGATAATGATCTGGGTCTTGGAAAGTGTCGATGCTGTGGTGTTTGGTTCCAGTGGTTGAGCTAGAAGAACTCAATTCATGGTTCAACAAGCTCTATGTCGTATAAAGTTCACGCTTAACAGCAGCCCCTGATTTGTTTCGTTTCGATGTTTCGTTTTATTGGAGCGCCTGAAGATTGGTGGCTAAGAGCTCACAGTCATCACATACATGTTAATTCTGATTCGCCACCCAAATGACAGATAGCCACGGTATACTGGTGAATTGTCGACAGGTTGGCAGCCTTGATTGTATCTACGGGAAGTGGGAGAGGTCAACAATCTAACAAAGACTAGCTAGGATTACTCACCAGTTAGGTATCTTGTCAGAAGCCACTCCGCATGGCGCTATGACCGAACCTTAAAGCTTCACCTTAGCTGCCTGTTACAGATAGACTGTGTCACTATCGTCAAGAAGATCTGGAGCTTCCTTTCCGGGTGCCCAGAGAATCGGGGATTTGGAAGACTGCTCTGGACTTGGTCCCTGTCTAAAACGGTCTATTTATCACCGAAAAATAACGGCTTTGTCGGTCCGAGGAGTTACTCTGCTACGAATGGCCAATCTTCTACCTGCGAAGCTGCAAGAATGTTAGTCTGTTACTTTCTATCGTCGAGAACTGCCTATCCGAATCGCCTCCTTACGGGATTCGTTAAGTTGGGAAACGCTTCGTACACCAACAACAATAAAACCAGAACTAGTTCTTCTAAATAAACAAGACCTAATAAATAATTAAACGCGGAATAAGAAGACTATATAACATATACTTATCTTATTTTATATCTTGATGCTAATAATCCAGTGGGATAGGTCACAGCAGGAACCGGTGTTCTTTCGTCTAATCTCTATCTAAACTCGATGTTATGACAAGCCTATCTCTCTTATCATTAATTACAGATAAAAATAAGCCATGCTCTGCAGCATCGCCGAGTGCAGGTTATAAACTGTTCTTCTATCCAGTAGGAATTGATGAATTAGCATAGAACATGGCAGTGTGAGGGCAAGTTCGCCATGCATATTTTCTCACCTGCCGGGTAGGCTCCAAAGATCTGTTGTGGCGGTGTGTGGCTTGACCACCCACTTCCCCGGCTGTCGGGTTCCGATGAGCCACGGAAAAACGGAACCTCAACGACTGGACCAATCTTGAACAGTCAATCATCAACAACGACATCCGCAACTCTCAGTCACAACGTCCGCAACGTCCTGTCTTGCTCTATGGAAACGTGATGCCTGTCTTTGTATGAGCGCATTCTCAATTCCGATCATCCATCGTCGCGCGCACCTCCATGTCAGGTCAAGAGACCTCTCCACAGTCTCCCCCCGCCAATACACCTAAGCATCGACGACCCTGGACATCAACCGAGGATGCGACTCTGAGGACTCTTGTTGGGCACTTTGGTGCTAGTAGGGGGTCTGAGGGTAGATGGAAAGACATAGCATCTGGCCTGGAGGGCCGGACGGCAAAGGTGAGTCGCCACCTCCGCACGCGCCTCAACGCGATCATTGGCCTGCATGATGCGCGCTCACTGCCAGAGGAGATGAGTTTGGAGAAGATGGGGACTAACTGCCTGTTTAGGATTGTCGAAAAAGATGGCTTCACTCACTGGACCCGTCGTTGCGCAAGGGTCGATGGACATCTCAAGAGGATGAAATCTTACTCTCGGCTTATGCTCGACTTGGACCGCTTTGGAATGAAATTGGTAAACCCATTACTTCTGCAATTACTACATAGTCTAACGCATGCTAGCGCTTCTCATCCCTGGACGGAAGGACGACCAATGTTCTAAGAGATACAATGATATCTTGAACCCATCCGCCAAAAACCGTTTAAGCGACTGGACTGCCGAGGAAGATAACCTTCTACGCCAAGGTGTAGCAGCGTTGGGTCATCGATGGGTCGCCATCTCATCACGAATACCTGGAAGACCTCCCCTCACCTGTCGTAATCGATGGCGTACGCTCTCACGACTGTCGCATAACCGACAGAGCAGATCTCAAGGCACTACCCCGTCATCCTCATCTCAGATGTCCCCATTCGACAATGGGATATCACCGGCGGCTCATAATCCAAATCTCGGCATTGAGAACAATGGAACCACGACTGACTTGATGCACTTTCCAATGGATACCGATATCGGCCACGATCAAATGGGATCCAGCTTTCTCGACTCAGCCTTTTTCGACACCTTCACAGGCCCTTCCCCATCGCCATTAAGAGAATCCGATCCAAGTGATGAAACAGAAACGCCGAATGACGTATCTGCCCCAGGTGCCGCCCCAGCAAATACCACACCTGTTCCCGATCTTTCCTCAAATATCGCGAGCCAGACACAGAGTGACCCCAAACCATGGCCTCAGCCTCCGAAACCGCCCCAAGCGCAGCAACATCAAAATACCACGAACGCATCCTTCATGCCATCGCCTTCTACTTGGTCATCATTGGGTACAATGTTGCCACCTGGGACTTCTCCCACGGATCAGAATATGTGGCTAGGAATGACTGGCAACCCTCCAACCCCGAAGAACTGGACGGCCCCAGGACCAACAAATGAATCGAACCCATTGCCCCAGTCATTTGCCGAACAGTTTCAAGTACCAGCAGTATCAGCGTCTACTCAGCAGACGATTCACCACCACCATCATCACCATGTCCATCATCATTTTCACCACTATCACCATTACCCAGGCAATGGAGATCAATGGCGACAACTGGAGCAGCAATCAGAAGCCGAGGCGATGCAAGCACATTTGCAAAACGAGAATGGACCTCAAAACCCAGGGTGATGCGCTTAGCCTAACAGATCTCACCTCGTCCAGTCACGCTAGCACGAATAAGCCACAATGACCAGGGTACAATGTCATGCGGAAACCCCACCACAGATGGAAACTGATTTCCATTCTGCCAGTCACTTTCTGTCATGACTTTGTGTTGCTCTGTGTCGCCAAGCAACATGCAGCTTGACACTAATTGCGATCAATCGCTCGATAATGTCGCCCATAAGATACCGCTGTTCTGTGCCCCTACATATTGACCTCTTGACCTCGTGAAACGCCAGATACGGATACTGCACATTTTGCCAGGCCAGTATGGTGAGCCTGTTCGCTGCACCCTTCATAGTGTGTCCCTATATGACAACCCAAGTTACGAGGCGTTATCCTACTCCTGGGGCGATCCGTATATATGTCACATCATTGAAGTCGATGGCCAACAAGCTACGGTCACTGACAACCTGTATAATGCACTTCGGCGGGTGCGATTCGTCGACCAAACGCGGCATATTTGGGCAAATGCGCTTTGTATCAACCAAGCCGATACGGCTGAAAGGACTCATCAGGTTGGACTGATGAGAAACATTTATTCATCCACGACAGAAGGCGTATTGTGGCTTGGGGAATTTTCTGGCGACGGCGACACCGGCGCAAATCACATTTCACAGGAGACTGCTGCAGTAGCATTTGAATTAGTCAGATCATTGGCTGCCGACCAACACTGGAATTCCCAAGAGCATGCACAGTCGATGGTCAGAGAAGAATCAGATGCCCTCGCTGCTCTGCTGGATCTTTCGTGGTGGCAGCGAGCATGGACCGTGTAAGAAGCAGTTCTTCCGAAGAAAGCAACTCTGTGCTGCGGAACGATGTAGCTACCACTATCAGAAGTTAAGCGTGCGCATCTCATGTCAGTGAGCCATGACCGGAACGGATGCTGTGTCACGAATCCTCAGTGCCATGACGTACTCTACAAGTTCTGGGACTGTATCGAGGGGTTTCGCGTCCTACAGGAAGAATCTGATAAAGATATTTTGGTCAAGATGGCTTTGGAAATGTTCAGGTTCCGCCATGCATCTGATCGGAGAGATTGCGTGTACGCCTACCTTGGTCTAGGGAGTAAGGCCTTGGCTGACTACACTATTCCTTATGAGACGGCGTTCAAGTATGTTGTGCGCTCGCTTATTCAGGAGTCAAATAATCTTGGGCCTTTGGTTCGGATTGCGGAGCATGCTGAAACACGATCAGCGACTTTGCCTTCCTGGTGTCCCGACTATGGATCGTCTTTTCCAGAGACCTATGAGAACTTGGACCAAGAGTTTGGGTGGCTTTACATGTACAATTGGTACCAAGCTGGGGGCGGGAACGGACCAACTAGCAGGTTTTCACTTATCGATTCGAGACTCGAGCAGCAAGGCATTGTCATTGATAAGATCACCAAAGCCGAGGGGCCGATGTACAGCACGGATACAAAAGACGAGATTCTCTCTGCCTGGTACCAAGATCGAGATCCTCGCGTCTAAGAGGTCGGCTGGTGCGAACTAATGCGTGACATGTTCATCGTTTTCTCCAACAAACCTCGAGATTACAGCAGACCTCGCACAAGAGCTGGTTTCGAGGCAATGGTTAAATCTCTTTGGGATCCTAGATCTCAACTTTCTGTGTTCCAATATCAGACCTTTCATACAGAAACGGGCCTGGTTGGTCATGCAAGAGTAGATGTGCGAGTAGGAGATGTTTTGTGTGCTTTACTTGGGGGGAACATGCCGTTTATACTAAGGCCACTTGATGATGGGGTTTTCGGTTATGTTGGACAGGCGTTTGTTCATGGGATCATGGATGGAGAAGCCCTTCAACAGGGACGTGAGTTGGAATGGATCACTCTTGTATGAGGGAGCTTTGAGCTCGAAGCCATAATACTGATGTCAGTGATATCCACTGATTAGCGGTAGATTCTCATCTACTTCAACAGGACAATATGCATGAGAACAAAATAGAACAAATTCAATCTTATAATAGTCTGTCTAATCGTGAAGTAAAAGCAAGGCTTCAAGTTGGCTGTCGTGGTGAGGGTATGCTTTCGCCACTTTCCCCTTCGTCATAGACCGGGAAGTTCTCTCTTACCGGTAGCGAAAAGAAGACCCTGGAACAAGATTAGCCAAGAAAAGTTAATCTTGCATCAAGCAGGGCTAACTCGTGAGACATTGTGCCGTGTTTCGGCCTTTGCTTTGGCTCCCCCCGTCTTCGCCTCCATTTCTCTCTGCCGAGCGGTAAGTGATGCAAGTATGCGGCGTTTTGAAACAATCAACTGCCTCACCGCTTCGCCAAGTATGTATCCAGTTAAAAAGTCAAATACTTGCCAGATTGGATGGATGGCAATTGTATTGTATCGAGCTTCAGGCTAAGAGAATCAACCAAGCTTGGGTTAGTGCTGCACGGCAGGAAGAGAGAACAAAGTACTGTAAAGTTTACATTCAAGGCTGTACGAGTTTTAGAGAAATACTATGAGATCTCATCTGCGACATCTGCATGAAATATGACCGGGTTCGAGCTGCAGTCGGTTCTGAACGGGTATAACCTTTTCCGCATGGACAAGCGAGATCTGAATCAAGATCTGTTGGCTTTCGGTCTTGTTGGATATCATTTTGCAAGATAAGTTCCATGTCACATTCCTATCAATTACTCATCAGGATATATCCCCGCATCGGATGCTGTAGGTTCCAGATGAGATTACGACCTCGATCAAGGGTCCCTTTGTCTTAGCTGTGCGTCAATCAAGGTTGATGATACTCTGTTTTCGTAGAGTTGCAGACCGCTCTTGAGGGGAAGACAGTAGGCACATGTGAATATCGCATGCTGTGAGTGGATAATCATCAGTACTGGTGAGTGTAGCACGGCTCACAGATCATACAAAGTTCAATGGTTGAAGTTAGAAGAGAATATTTGGATGTGAAGGTAGATATCGAGTGATGATCTGCGACTATAATATTACATGGCTCAGCCCGTGTCTACCTCATCAATCTCGGTAAGAGATATTCTCCGCAATATGTCCCTCGAAGTCAGTGACAATCCAGTTTCCGTATTCGAATTGACCTATGGTGAGCTGCCCTGCAAGCCACGACAGCCACCCCCTCAGTAACGACGCGGCCTGTCCGGCAGATGCCCCCGCTCGTAGGCCTCATTGAGACCCTCAGCCAGCCTATATTGCCATTTTGGTCCATCTGCAACGCGTATTTACAGTGGAATTGTAGGCGGCGCTTTTAGTGTAGCTGTGCCGTGCTTGTTGATGCTGAGGAGCGCAATAATAAGCTGTTGGCCCCAACTATGGAACGCTTCGGCCCGCAGCGATCCGTAAGGACTAACTAACATAGCTTGTTATGACGAACTCGGAGACACGGGCTGGCGCAAGGGTGAATAAGACATTCAGACCTATTGACCTCCTGAACACGATCGGTCATCCAAGATACCAGTTTCTTAGGGTCGTATTAGACTCCCATCCAGACATGCTTCACATCAAAAACCTTTCTAAAATTAATGACTGGCTGAGGCTACCAATGTTGGAGTACTTAGAGACAGTCATCTCTCAAAAGCATTTTTGTGGCGTAGCTGACCACTGAGCTAACGCTGTCATAAACAAGAGTTCAGCTCAGCTGCAGCTCAGTTGCAAATCTTCTCCTATTATATCGACCATGTCTTGCCAATGAGGGGTCGTAAATTGCAGCATTGGCCGCTAGCTAAGCCGCAACTCGAAACTAGCAAAATCATGCAGAAGACGGTCGCTGTATGTGACGACAATTGGCTATGGAGAGGACATCAGCTTGCGACATGCCTTGGACTGCATTCCAATGGAAGGGGATGTTCACGATCAGCAATGTAGTGTCTTGTACATGAGAAGAGAGACTGAAGCGAAGCATGTGGTATGAGATGGAAGAGAGTGAGAAGATGTATAAAAGATCAATCTGCACCTGGAGACGATACTTCCTATTCATTCCATCATCACTCACTCACCTCACAACACAACCACTCTTCAACCCAATAACTTCTATTCAAAATGTTTGTTTACCAAGGAAAAATGAACTGGTGGACGTACGCCAAGGACGAGACCTTCGTCGTCGTCCTCCCCAACGGCCCAGTCCGCGTCGGCGACAGCGTTTATCTCTTCTGGAAATGGACAGTCGATGCTAAAGGCGTCAAGAACGGAAACGTCTTCCAGACCATCAGCGTCGACTCGGTCACACAGACCAGTGCTACTGATGTGACCTTTGTCCTCAAGGGCTCCTGGTACAGCTTCACCGTCACCACAAAGGGCGGTTATGAGAACATCAGCATCGTCATGCGAAACCCCCAGGGCGGTGTCAGCGATCCCATGCCGCTCAAGCGCGAGTGGAAGTCTGATAAGGAGCTCACCGGCACTACTCGCATTTGGACTGGAAAGTTCAAGTGGATGAACTTTGCGAGGGATGAGCACGCCATCTTCATTGTCCCTGATGGCTTTGGTGAGGGCAAGCCTATTATTTCAACTTGGCAGTGGACCAAGGCTTCTAACGGCAAGACGAAGGAGCCATCTTTCCGTGCTGAGGTTCAGAGGAATGTTACTGGTCTTGGAACTGATACTGTCAAGTTCTCTTACAAGTCATACTATGATATCAAGTGTACTTGGGATGGTAAGAAAGACCAGCTTGATGTTTGGGTAACAGAGGGTGCCCACAGTGAGGATGTTGGTGACATGATTCGCTCTGCCATCATTGAGCGCTCAACTCACTCTCAGTACGTATTCAAGTCAGCATATGGTAGCTCTACTAACTTTGCAACAGTGACTTCAACCCTCCTCGACCCCCTCCCACAAAGAGCGAGTGTGAGCTTTATCTCCCCCAGCCACAGGCTTCTCTCCCTCGTCTCGTGTGCCCTCTTCCATTCCCCAAGGACCTCCTTGAGACCCTCGCACACACTGCTGCATACGTCGACCAGTGCGGTTACCTAGCCAAGTATGCTCAGGATGTACGTTCAACTACTTGCTCCGTCTTTCGACACATGCTCACAATTCTTAGCGCTTCACAGCCCTCGATGCCGATTACCACTTCTCCCTTGAGCAGATCAAGGCTCTCAAGATCGAGATCGAAAACATCAACAAGACCAAGGGTGATCTCACTCTTGACCGCGACGCAGCTATCGCCAAGGCCCAGAAGCTGCAGGAGGCTCTCGACAAGGCCTTGAAGGATGGTGAAGGCTTCCAGAAGGAGATTGCCAGACTCAACAAGGTCATCTCTGACGACAAGCTCAAGGATGCCGAGGCGCTGAAGGTCCTCGAGAAGACTCGTGCTGATCTCAAGGCCTCCCAAGAGCAGTGCTCCAAGCTTCAGGCTGAGATCGCCCACAAGGATGCTCAGATCGCTGAGCAGGGCGCGACTATCAGCAACCTCCAGAAGATCATCATCACTCTTGAGACTACTATCGCCCAGCTCCGTGCCGAGATTACAGTCAAGACCAGCGAGAATGAGAAGCTCGCCAAGGCCAACATCACTCTTGAAGAACAGAAGCGAGATCTTGAGAACTCTGTCAAGGATCTTCAAGATGAACTTGCCCGCGCTCAGCAGAGGATTAAGGAACTGCAGGAGACTGCCAAGAATCACGCGGTGAAGGACAAGGAGATCCGTGATGCGAAGGCTCGTGCCGATTCTGAGGCGGCCAAGTCGGAGGAGGAGGCTGCCAAGGCGTTGGCTGAGGTTGAGAAGTATAAGCAGTGGGCTTATGATAATAAGGTTGTCATTGACCTTTCTAAGTACTGATGCCAGGCATTCCTGCCGTTGCACTTGGTGCCGGTGGGGGTTTCGTGTCAAAAGGTTTGGAGATATTGTTGGGTTGTAGGAGCTCTCTGCTTAGCGGCTTGGGAGCTGAAGAGGAGATGGGGCGTGGAGAGGACAGCTTAACTACTAGAAGGTCATGATATCTAGCAAACTTAATACATTCCCTTTGTTACCAACTTTAACTAAGCCATGACCCGAGTGATATCTCTTATTTAGTGACTAATGATTGACTTAGCGTATCAATGTATCATTAAGTCAAACTGTCAAAAAAGAGTGGTCACGGTGGAGTTCGAGCGCAGTTGAAGCTATGTCTGCCAAGTTCTATATCCTCCTTAAAGTAATTCTATCCCGCGCTAAGGTATGCCATCTATCCCATCCTAAATGAAAAGTCCACCCAACACACATGTGCTCCCAAAATACTAAATCCAATTCACGCTTGATAGTTTATCGTTGAGCGTTCTCCTCCATCACAGGCGCATCTGGACCCTCTGCTGCTCTAGACTTCTCAGCATCCATCTCTTTCTTGTGCTTCTTGCCGAGGAAAGGGAAGAAGAAGTAAGGATGGAATATCGTCAAAGTCCATACGGCAATGAGAATCATGGCTCCATCGAGAATCAAGAAGGTTGTTTCGTTTTGCATGAGGGTGCTGCCCCAACCCATCTGCATTTCAGGGATACTAGACAACATTAGTACAAAAAGTAAAGGGCAGATCTGAAGGGGGCTTACCGGTAGATGCAACGGATGATAATGGCGATGTAAGCAACGGTCAAAGCGTACACAAAGATCTTGGTCTTCTTGTCACTTGCTCTGATGACCTTGACGTTTCCGTTGGTCGACGATTCACTCTCCGTAGCAGTCTCATCACCAGCCCTGACAGCAGCACCATTCTTGATAGCCTTGTGTCTTCTCCAGATATAGATCATCATCAGACCACCACAGAAGATCATATTGGCCATCTGGAAGACAACACCGGCAACAAGAAGTCCAGATCCCACATCAAGCATATCCTGGTCATTATTGTCTCCATTAGTGGCCGCTGAAGAAACACCGCCGCCAGCAGCTTGGATAACAATAGAGAAGAAATCCGTGCCAACGAAAACCCAGGGGTATAGAACAGGCTTGATGAAACTGTACTCTCGACCGTACCATAGAACAAGATGTTTGAAGGTGATCGAGATAGCAGCAGCGACTAGTGTTGGGCCGAGAATGAGGAGAACGAGTTGGATGACGAAAGCGTTGTAGACCCAGGGGTTTGAACTCATGACGATACGGCCGCTGTAGCCGATGAGTTCAAATATCGTCCCGATCGCAAGCCATAGCGTATACGACCATGTTCGCGCCTTGATACCGAAGTATAGTTGGGGTATAAGGGCCAGCGCGTGGGCTACGACGAAGAAAACACAGGCGCCTAATGTAAAAGTGTCGCCGTAAAGTGACAACTCAGCGGGACATCGTTCGGAGATTCCATCGGAGCAGGTTTCGTAAGTCGGCGGTGGATAGTTTGTACCGTTGTACGACATTTTGATGCTTTCACCCTCAATCTGGGGAAGAATCTTGAGGAACCAGTTGTCTAATGATCATGGAGGACGAGCCGGATTTAAAAACATGGTGATTTCTGGAGCACGTTCTCCGTGGGGCAGCCCATGGAGTATATTCCGCAGACATATACAGGGGAGGAATGGAACTGTGGACTCATTCACAGGGCGCAGTTGGAGAGCCAAGACATGAGAATAAGCGAGGTGCAAATCGATGTCTTGGCGTTTGATCCTTCAATTCATGAGTCTCTCTTCACATCAAGACAATACTCTTCAGACATCACTGCAAGACCACTTCGCTTATCAGTACACATGATAGCTTAACTCTAAATAAGCGTTAAAGTTGAAGGTTTATGAGAATACAAAGAAAGACATCAATCAAGCTCAATCTCATTCTAAACGCGTCACTCTTGGCATCGTCAGCACAGGCTAACGACGCGTAGATAAAACTTGATAAGCTCGCATTCCCGAAAAGCCCGATTGGTCCGTCGAGTTTCAACAGCTCGCATTCCTCGGTTCCGTCGCTTTTCTCGCAACGAGATGCAAGCGTAAGATTACACATCCTCTGAGGTCACGGGTATCCACATGTAAGAGATCGGAGGTTCCATTCTGATGTTATCCCGTATTTCCGGTCCAAACGTGCTAGGTTAGAGTTTTTAAGCTTAAATGCGAGGATGAAAGGAATAATTTAGGGTATTTATTGGTTAAATATATATAATGAAAGGAAACTTCCCTTATTGCATACCGATAGCCAACTCCTCAACCTTCTTCAACACCTCTTCTACAGCAGTCGAGTTACTAATCTGACCATCGCCGTCAATATCCAAGCAAAACAAGACAACATCACGATACTTCGTTCCCATCATAATTGGCAACCCTGACGTGGCCAACTTCTTCAGATGATCTTTCACACTCCCATTGACACTATTAGGGTCTCTCAGCCCCATAGCTGTCAACGGTCTCCATAGACCCAATTCAAGGAGTACAACACCAAGGCTGTAGAGGTCATGGTTCATGGTATATCGTGACTGAGGATGCAAACCTTGACGTTTGGGGTGTCGGTAGATGTTGTAGCCCCATTCCACATCGCCTTGCCCATCGCTTGCTCCCCTGTCGTAGCGCGATGTTTCAAAGCCACACAGAAAAGGTTCACCAAGGACTTTAGGGAACTGTTCTGTATTCGCTGGAGACGAATCGTTCTTTGCAAACATGACAATGTTGGATGTTTGGATAGACTTGTGCACGTACTGCATTACATGCACATACATGACAGCTGACGTGATCTTCCTCGCAAGCTCGAAGCGCTGTTCGAGCGCATGCTTTGGTGGGATGAGCTCAATCTGACCTGGCTTGCTGAGAGCTGGGCGTGTGGCCATGATGAGATCAAGAAGTGTCGTAGGTCTCGTCACGTCGTCTGGAATCACCGCCAACTTGGGGACCTGGTATATGAAAGCGAATGCGCTGCGACTTGGCTGATGAAAATAGCCTTCTCCTTTTAGAGTCCGGCAGAGGAGTGGATCGGTTCCACTAAGTAGTTTTGCTAGAGCGGCAACATCGGTTTCGAAATCGTTCATATACGTCACTGAAGGGCTCAAATTGTGTTCTTTGAACTCGACTATGACGGTCCTTTGGTTCATGGTAGCAAACATGCGCGAGGAAGGTCTTCCCGGACGCAGTGTGACCATCCCCTCTGACTTGCGCAGCCCATCCACAAGAGTACTCCGACTCCGGTCTGTCAGGCGTCTGAAAGTCTCACGCAGTGCTTTGATGTCTCCAGGCAGGCTCTCATCGGTTCCTTGCGCAAGTAGACGGGTCTGCAGGCCAACAGGAAGTAAGCCAAATCGAACGTGGTACCTTTCAGTCCACTGAAACAGGTCTTTGCTGATACCTTGCATCTCAGCCTTTCCGTACAAGAAACCGTGGACTTTATCAACCGCCTTCCTTGCGGGCGAAGCCGTGAGCGCTGACATTTTGCGCCGGACGATAGTAGAGTGAATTCGAGCAAGACTGGGTTGGAGTGCAAGGCATATTTCGTTGAGAAGGAATTTATCCGTCAGAGGTATCTGTTCGGATTGTGCTGCAGCGTTGAATATGCGTGCAAAGTCCTTCAGAAGTGCTACATCGTGCTTCAGGGAGAGGACCAGTGAATCGATGCCGCGGCCCTCCAACTCGGCTGTCGCGAAGTTGAAAATATCAAGGGCAAGGGATGTACAACCGACTATTGCACCAAGAACTTCCATCTTAATAATGATCTTTGGAACAATGACCGGAAGAGAAGGATTCCTGGGAGCTAGCTATCTACCCAGGTGTCGCCATTTTCAGCCTCACGGACAACGCATGTGCTGATTAATGTGTTGAAACAAGCGACTTGATACGTCGGGTTTGAGCTGACATGCATGTCAAGTACCACCACTTCCGCATATCTTCGGAGCCTCGTTTGAGATGGGCTTCCAATCTCAGCATTTCTAACTCAACCTGGTTGGAAGAATTGAAATATGTTTTCCGGCTTTCAATATAATTCTTCTTTCACTTTCAGCCATCCTGGCTGGGAGTCCGACCCAGTGGCAGATTATGCCGAACTGGCTCTTGCTCGAGTAACTGCCGAGGCGCCAGACCCTGGTCCAATCGAGGACTTGACGACTTTTGCCCAGCAACTCCATACAACTGGTCTACCGATCTGCGAAGCTGCTGATCTAGAAGATCTCAATGATGGCGCAGCTATCGGTTCCGGTACAACTATGACCGTGTTCAAATGTCTCTGGAAGTCCAAGAACAAAGCCGTCGCAGTAAAGCGAGTCAACCTTGGAATTGCCTTGGGCCAGTCTCAGCATGAGGCCCATTCCCAAAAGTACTCGGGCCTCCTGAAGTCTCTTCTCAGGGAAATGAGAGTAATGAATCATCCCTGGTGCAAAGCCCATCCGAACTTCGTTGAGCTCCTTGGAATAAGCTGGGATGCCGTCACTTCTGATGGGAGTATCAGCAGTTATCGACCCGCAATGATCGTTGAACTGGCAGATCCGACGACGCCGCAGTTGAGAGATTTGGTACAAAGCTCTCGGTATCCTCTCGGTCTCAAGGACCAGCGAATGATGTTTGATCTACTGACTGACGTTGCCGAGGGAGTTACTATGTTACATGCAATGAAAATTGTCCACGGCGACTTGAAGCCTGATAACATCCTCTTATTCCGAACGAAAGATCGTTTGGTAGCGAAATTATCAGACTTTGGGTTCTGCAGCCCTTTTACTGACATCGAGTATAAGATCGGAGGAACCCCGTATTGGAATGCCCCAGTACGTTGAGCCTGTTCCTGCTAAGCTATTAGAATTCCTTTGGTCTGACCAAGACTGACATTCTGGCCTTTCAGGAATGTATGCCGGATGCCCCAGAAGAGCTGCGAGCCTTTCGCAAGACGATAACAAGGGACCTGTATTCTTTCGGGCTTGTCATGGCATACTCGCTCTTCTCAATACTGCCATATGATGAAGAGGGCGAACATGATGCAGATACGATGACGGTCCAAGGTTGGAAGCTGAATCAAGACGCCAGTATCTTCTTGCATGAGCAGATCATCGTATATGTACTAGACTTCCATTCCGTAAGCACACCATCCCGGAAATGCGAACACTCACCTCCTAACGATATTAGATTCATAACGTAGCTCCCGAAAGTCTTTACGGACTTGACCTCCGGCCCCACGATCTGTTGTGGTTTCAAATCTGGGCTGCAATGACAGAGCTGTTGCGCCAACACCCAAATGAGCGAAATATCAGAATGGCCCATATGCACTCCGTTTTCAAAACTCCTCACAGGCAAGTCACATTTCTGTCTCAATCGCGATGCTAGAATAGTTTCTAACCAGCTTAGTTTGAGTGATATCTTCATACCACAGACCAATAGTACCAGGTCTGGTACCTTCATTGAAACAACCAGTCCAGTTTTTAGACCAAAGATGGTTTCTAGTATGGGTCACGGTCTTCAAAAGCGGAAATTTGGCAAGGTACAATGATCCCTCGCTCCCAGTTTGCCCTTGATAGCCACTTAACAACGTATAGTTTGACCCATTCCGACTCGGCCAAATCCCAGAAGCGGTTCAGTCACTCCTTCTAGAAGATTTCGAACATAGATATTCTTCCGCAGCAGATGGTAGCCCAGAGGTTGCAGACCTTGCGCTTGTCCTCTCGAATTGTCACAGTCGGGGGTTTGGCTGCCCTCCAAGTGCTGCAAAGGCACGTGAATATGAGACTCTCGCTGCACAGGCAGCGTCTGATGCTGCGCAGATCCAGGCTACTTTTCATGGCCTTGTTGATGGATTTGATTGCTCGGTGACAAGTGAGCAGAAAAGGGTATGGTTGAAGACTGCGATTTGCATAATCTTCTTCGGGCACAATCCCGATAATGCGAGAAGGAATGCTTTCCTTGATGGATTAGAGCGGGTTTCGGTTGAGCTTCTTGACCATGCCATTCTGTACTCATTCGCCAAGTCGTTCATGGACGAGAGGATAATATATAATCTCGAGTTTGATGGTGCGGCAGAGGATGAGCTATTTTCTATGGTAGTCAACGACGAGAGAGACAAACTCGTCGCGGCTTTGAAATCGGACAGAAAGCTTTTAGGTCAAAAGAAGGGCGGCTTCACAATCTTGCATGTTGCAGCGGACTATTGCCGGGAAGAAATAATACAAGGTAAAGATCAACATCAATGGAAAGCTTTTGTGCTAATGGAACCATAGATCTTGTCCGCGGTTTCAGCATGCATCCGGACACAAAATCTGACTACGGAGACACGCCCATAGAGCGTGCAGCCGAGACTGGAAGTATTGACTGTGTACGACTTCTAATATCTCTGGGGGCTGATATCAAGCCTCTTGCTGACCAAGAGCTCTTCTCATCCGTTGTCATAACTGGAACTCGCAATACCATCAAGGACAGTCCTGTAAGTGGGACTGCGTCTCTGCTATCGCTTCTCTGTAGGGCTGTTGAAGAGGTCTCAGAAGACCCCACTTCAGGTCAAACTCTGATCAATGGGAGATATATGTCAGGCAACGAGAATGAGGGTATTGCTCCTGGTTCACCTCTCGAGTTGGCGGTATCTGTGCTGAACTATGACTCTGTCATAGCACTGTTGAACCTCGGCGCCGATCCTAATATTTACAATTACCTACCCCCGCTACAAATCGCTGTTTCGCTGAGGGAACCTCTTCTTGCCCTGCTGTTACTCACCCACGGAGCTCTTCCGAATACGGCGAGTCGAACCGATGGAGATACAGCATTGCACTGCGCGAACGAGGTTAATGGGACGGAGTTCGCTGAAACACCTCGAAATGATATCATTCCATGGCAGCAGTTCGTGAAAGAGGGAGTCGAAGCGATTGATGTTGATAGCGATGAGTCTCTGACTGCCAGGGTCAAAGCATGTATCACGATCCTCTTGCATTTCGGTGCAGATCTCGAGGCGCGCAACTCTGACGGGCAGACAGCTCTTGTGCAGGCGGTTCGGATGGGAGATTACTCAACTGCTAGGTATCTTCTTCAGATGGGAGCGGATATTGAGTCAAGAGATGACGAAGGAAATATTGCATTACTGGGTATTGAGTCAGAGGAGGTTCAGCAGTGGTGCAGGGATAAGGGGCTTGGCATTGGAACTCGATAAATCCATATACCGTGTAAATGCAAGTGACGTGTTGCAGGATCCAACGTCGCCCCGCGTCAGCATTCGGTGCTCATCATATGCCAGTGTTTAACCAGCTCATGCTATCGATTCAACTTACTTTTAAGTTAAATGTAACTGTTGTTAAATCAGTCTAGAGACTACTGAGCCTCATTTTGGCCATCTTCCTTCGCCCAAGACATCCTAACATTCTTCAACCAAGTTGCCTTCACTTTAGACTCCTCGGTAACACGAAAGGCTTCTACTTCAAGCAAATCATCTTGCCAAGGTTATAAAGCAAAGAGCCCATGGAAACGCCGGTCCCTACGCCCCCATTCTTTGGTCGAGCAGGCCATAACGAGATCTTCGAAGAGGCCAAGAACTGCCTCTCACAACTTGACTCATCTGACCTTGACTCCCAGGAGGCATGTACCCCGTTTTCTCAGTCAAACAAGACAATACGTTTTCAAGAGCTTCCGCCGTCGATAAAGCAGTCATGCCTTGCACTTCTCGGCTGCGTTTTCGGCCCCTCTTACGAACAGATGATTGCACAAGGAACGAAAAATGAGAACAGATTATGGTCGAACTTAACCGTTCCAGGTGTCATCAACTCGTTGGAGAAAACTTTCGGGTCAAAGTTGGACCGACCGAAGATCAATCTTGAGCTCATCGCGCAGCAAATTTGCAATAATACAGCACAGCCATTCCAAGACATTGATACCAGCTCACAAGAGTGGATCGACCAGCTTTGTGGTCCAAATTTACGATGGGAGTCAATAGGGCTGCTCTGGAGTGTTCTAAGGCGCATACCAGGGTCTTTCGAACCGATAGAGCGTAACCAGTTTCATATCTTGGAAAGTGGGACAGCGAATAAGCCGGTTCTGGCGTTCTTGAGACACAGCATCAACTTGGCTCGGCATTTCACTCTGGCAAATGCCATCATATTGGATCTCCTGTTCCAAAAGGCGATTATGGAGTCGATGATTGTCGGGGATGCCAGTAAGTCGCCCTCTTCTTGTTGTATGTATTCAGATACTGACAGAATGCGACAGGCTTGGTTTGCTGGGGTTCTTTTGCGGATGCCGTTTCCGTCATGACTTATCTTGGAGTTCACGCCGAGAAGCTCACTGGGCCTTACAAACCGTCGCTGAGTTCAGAACACAAACGGCGTCTTTTTGGTCGAGTTTATAACCTTGACAAAGCCATCGTTGCTTTCACTGGAAGGCCGCCACTGCTTAATCCGCGCTTTTGCTCGACACCACCACCACTGGATTTAAGTGACGAGGATCTTCTTGCTGGAGGTGCTGTGCTCGAGAAGGCCGTGTCTGAGCTTGATAGTCGTGGCTGGAGCTTGAGACGTGGTGTTTATCCTTCTAGTATCTGTCGAGCTGGCTACTTTATGGCTGTGATACTGAACGAAATTATTGATATCAGTCTTGGTTCTGGTTCCAATGCGACTGTTGAGACTATCATGTATCCACTACCCCTCCCAGCAACAATGGATGCTCACTAACCCCTCCAGAAATCTGAAGCAACGGCAGTTAAATGTCATTGCCGAACTTCCCAAGTGCCTGGTCTATGATCCCGATGACCCTGCCGATCTTCCACTTCCGCGGGGAGAAATTAGACCCTATGATAAGGACCTTTCTGACCCTCCAGTTGAGACAAATGTCGTGTCTTTAAGGATATTCATCCGGTTGACACACCTACAGAACATGTTCTTGCTGGAAAGGCTACTCCTTCAATACGGATGTCCGGATGAAGGGGATGTTCTTTTGGTTTCGTATGAAATGATCACGCTTACTCTAACGTTCTGGATGCACAAGGATCGGTTCCGTGATATTCGACGAGATATGGAGTGGCTGGTAAGTCTTTTGTCCTACTTATCTTTGAAACGCTCTGACATCTCGTGTAGCTTATGGCCTTTGCAGTACCGGGTGGTGGCATTCTCTGCCTGGAACTCCTCAGTCCAACGTTTCAGGGCAAACATCCCAAGGACAGTCGCCTCAGCCGATCAAGCATTGTCCAGCAACTAAGCTTGCTTGTTGGTTTCCTGGACTGGGTTCACCCATCAGCACCCAACGGCGATCTCTGCGCAAGTTGCAAGACTATTATTCAGCGCGTGTTAGATTATCATCTCAATAATATAGATCCGATGAGCGATCTTGGATCACTAGATCAGTTCAGTTCTGGTTTGGCGGGGAGGCTCAACTTTCGATTTGAGTTGTTGAATACGTTTGATTGGCTTAATGCCGGGTAGGGCCTTGCTGTTGGAAATAATGTCTGCATATCCCCTGTTATGCGAGTTGTGAAGCCTTGCGCGGGTACTTGCATTTGCTGGCAGTGACAGGCATTGTTCATCATTCACTGGCTCACAGTGACCACTCTCTAGTACCAATCAAACCGTAAACCTCAAGTTCACTTCAACTCTCCACCTTTTAATCTCTTAGGCTTTTCCTCTGATGTTGTTTTCTTTTCTTGCCTCACAACAGAGACCACGCTTCATTCACAGCAAGCCTTCACCATAGTGCAGGTTTGGAGGCGTCAACCTTGCTGGTGTTGAACGCTCTTCTCTCTTCGCAAGTGATTACATGAACAATCGATCCTTCGCTTGATCCGCCTATCTGCTCTGCCAAGTGGTGCCTTGCAGAGCATCGCGACCATGGCGGGAACACCCACAACCCCCGAACTCGCGACCATGCCAACCGAGATTCTGTGCATGATCGGGGACAACCTGTCTGTTCATGAGATCAAGGAATTGACGCTTACATCAAAGCAATTTCGCGAAATCTTTCTCCCGAAACTTTGCAAGCATCTCAAGTTTTCTGGTAACATGAAGGAACTGACGGACAGCCTCCACGCCTACTATACCCGCAAGACAGCTTCATTCCGTCATCTGGTCCATCATCACACGAGGTGAGTGTCCTCCACTACGGTTGCAATCCAAGTTCTTCGCTTATTTTTGTCACAGTTTTGTGACCTTTGAAGTTACAAATTTTGACGACATCTTTAAAATGAATGCTTGGCTTCTAGGCTATGGAGTTAAGACCATACCCATCGGGCGGTTTTTGGCGGATACACCTAGTCTCCACGGCGTTGTTTTCGATATCTGGCTCCAAAATCGCAAAGAAGCACACAAATTCCTCAGCTTAATTCGCAAGGGCCCAGACTGGGCTGGTCCTAAGCATCTCTATTTCACAAAATACGTCGAAAAATCGACAATGGGCAAAATAGTTGGAAAGTTCAAAGCAGGTGCCCTAAAGGGGATCGCTGCACCTCATGCATCTCTCACAGGCTGCCACTATGACGAACTCGCACGTAGCGGCGCCCATCTCACTTCACTGCGTCTTAACAAATATTCTTTCCTTAGACAGGATAGTTCAGCTCTTACAAGCTTGAGCGATGTGCTTATCAACAGGATCAGCAAAGACTTTCCTCAGCTGGAGTCATTGAATATTTATGATAAGACTCGTTCCGGTCGTTACATGCATCACATGAACGACAGAGATAGGTATCGATGGGTAAGTATCCCTCCGTTATTTAGTTGACCTCCTATCGCGGTTGCTGACACGCCTTAAAGTGCCGAAAGATCGATAAAGTCGCTTCATCCCTCCGTAAGATGCGGCGGCTACGTCGGTTTGCATTCACTCTCAGTGAAGCCCAATTCAGTGAAAGTTTTATCGATGCTCTCAGGACGAAGCTACTGGCCATTGTTATGAAGAAAGGTCTGCCGCCCGTCGAAGCTCGCGGGCTTGAAGGCGTATACATATTGTTGATTACCTATTTTGCCGCCCATGCAAAAAGTCCTGAGGAGGTTTGCATTACAACTGGGTGTCCCATGTTCTATCGAGCAACTCTCACGAACGGCGTATGGAATATGTCTGAAGAGTCTTCCGAGGATCCCTCTCAGAAGTACCTGTTCCCGAATGTTCTAGAAGGCTAAAGCTATGCGCTTGCGAACAGGGACGTGAAGGCGGAGCTTACGAGAGGAACTTCTGCGCCTTGTAGGTACACTGCACATTCAGTAGGGCAACAAAACCGGTGGCGTAGTAGTAGTTGATGCTCTGACGATTTCGACGGGGACCTTTGAGAATGAAAATGGCATTTTTGCAGCAAGTGGTAATTTCTTGTTTCTGTCTTCGTGCATCATGACTGGTATCACCAATTTTACTCATTTGAACAGCACCAGTTCCCACTGAGACATGTTGACCTGTGGCGTGAAGATAATAGGCCATGTTTTCTTCTTGCACATCAGGCCATCGTAGCAGCGTTTAAGTAGAAGAATTTATTGAGAAAATATATTGTGTTCTTCTCACCTGTGTTAGCAGACCAAAGCTTTACGTTGCTCCTAGTAAGTACTTTCATAGCTCATGCTTCAGCCATGATAGTGAATTATCATTAGACTGACACACACCAGCTTGAATTGATATTGGCACTGGCACTGGCAGTGTGAACCTCTCTTCTCCCTTATTCACAGTTACTTTGACCACCAGAACTCTCTCATCAACCCCCCAGTAAGCTATTATCTGTTTCCTGATTTCTTCAAATTCATCGCGCGTTCAGTTCCGTATTCTTCATCTCTCCTTTCCATCTTTCCGAACTGCTGAGCATCGCGCTTCTTGCAGCCATGGAAACTGAATCCCGAGAAGAACCTGCTGCTGTCATGAAGCACAGCCTTACCACGCCCACGTCCTTGAGCGCCTTGGAAAAGATGCCGACCGAAGTCCTTCTCATGATTGGATCACATGTTGGCTCGATCGCCTTCAGGGTTGCTACACTTGTTTCCAAGCGTCTTCGATCAGTCCTCCTCCTTCGGCTTTTCAAAAGGATCACATTCTCTGGCACCCTGAGAAAGCTCGCTCACGATATGAGGTCTTTCCTCTCCGGTGAATATAAGCACTTGATGATGACTATTCTTCCTGCTCTCAAGTATTCATTCCAGGATCTGACTCTTGAACCCGGTGACTAATCTTGCACCTTAGATCTGTTACTATTCGCTTCGAGCCCCACAGTCTCGCCGAGGAATCCACAGATTCGCACCTTTCGACAAACAGAATCGCAGTCATCAGTGAATTCATTTCCAAGCTATCTTCAATCGATTTGATCTCGTTTGATAATCAAGTGAGGAGCAACCACTCCCGGGAGATTGCCTTTACTGAGGCATTGGGCAACGCGCCACAGTGGAATGGTCCCAAGGCCGTCATTTTTTGTGGTCACAGGAACTTGCGGCTCTTCAGTGCCATCATAAACCAATTTGCCCCCAACACTGTCAAGGCAGCTCAATTTCCGCAATACACCGCAAAGAGACATCCTTTGGCCTTGAAATCAGCATGTCCCTTACTCAAGGGTTTGAGGGCTGATGTATCTGCAATCAAGAGTCGTTCGCGAACCCTTGCCTGCATGAGCAGCAACACCCTTCGGGCAATGAATCGTGACTTTCCGCATCTGGAAGCCCTTGTTCTTGATCAGGTGGATGCTCATACGATTGTGTCGGGCGGTGGACGTATCTACAAGAAACCATATCGGCCGAACCTTGTAAGAGCCCCCGATCTTGCTCAGCGTTGTATTACTTATTACTAACACAAGCATAACAGAACGAGTGCGTCGAGAAGCTGATTGCACAGCTGAAGGCGATGCCACGATTGCGACGTTTCGCTTTTACACTCCAGAAATATTGGCTCTGTAACGAATACGATTGTGAATTGTTTAACAAGCGCGTCCGAAGTTTGAGCGGAGACGAATCAGACGATCCGCTGCAGGCCACTTCTGAGCCGAATGAGTGGCCCTACTGGCTGCCCACTGCTGCTCAACAGGAAGAGTGGCATTCAGAACTCATTACTCGTATTCTCGAGGCCGTTCCACAACTCAAAGAGCTCTGTATCGTGCTCGATCCCTTGGAATATCATCGAGGGACCAAGACCGAAAACATCGTAACGGTTCGCCGAGTGCAATTTGGTTATCTAGAGAAGCCTTCCCAATTCCCGTATGTTTTGGCGGATATTGATTGATCTCGTCAAAGGGTTCGTGGTAGAAATCGTTGAATCAAGACTGGACTTCGAATGTACGATGAGCAGACCGAAAGAATTGGACTTGGATGTCAGATGTTTAAGAAGCAGTCATGGATGCTTAGATAGTTTGACTGATTGACATTTAAATTTTATGACATTACACCGGTGTGTAACAGGCCAATACATGGAAGAGTCCCATTAAGCTCATGTTTTAGATAGGCCATGCACAAGACCTCAACAAGGATAATTGTCCAACTTTAGATAGGTTTGAGGGGTTTTGTGAAAAGCTAGGCTATAGAATGCAACACGAGCAGACTCTTTTATCCTGCTTTTGGCGCCACTGTGGTGATCCTCGTTCCTAGGCGTAAGGTGCTGCGATAATGATGACTCCAACTGGATTTTTGAAGCACGGCATGCTAACATCACAAACGCTTCTTTCTCCGCACAGGTTCCCACAGCATAATCTCAATCAAACTGGGCAGTATCTTCCAGTACAGTGACTGCACGACAAGCTGGTCCAGCAGCTAAATGTTTGCCAATCTCAAAGCAATCTTTTGGTTGATTGAAGCTTTTTGTGGTCTTCACCCTTCTTTAAACCTCTGTTGTTTCAGCGATGTCAATCTCTCAAACTACAATCACAAAATACCATCCCAGAACATGAAATGAGTGGAAAGTTTCCCAATGATCCACCCAGACTTAGAAAGAGAAGTGACTGTGTTTCGTAAATCTCACTCATGTTTGTCACCATTTTCCTCAGCCTCCGGCTTCTCCTCTGCTTCCTCTCCCGTTTCCTCGTCCTGGGTTGTCTCCGTAGCCTCATCTTGAACCTCCTCAACAACTTCCTCAACACGTCCACTAAAACGCTGGTCCTGCTGCAGAAGAGAGCGTATCACAGGCTGAGCGTCCAATTCCGCAGTCAGGCGGTTGTTGATCTCCTCACCTAACTTCCTGCGCGCCTCTCTCTGCTGCTCCGTTAAAGGCTCACCTCTCTGTTGACCGCCGCACGGACACTGGGCAATCCAATCCGGTGCGATAAACTTCTGACTTCTCTTGCCTGAGTCAATCACACTCTCCAGAACGGCAAAGGCGAGGTCAAGAATGTTGTCCCTGCCGAATGAGTCCGGATCTGTGAGGAGCTGAACTCCCATTCCGAATGCAACGGAGAGGATGGGACCCACGCCCGGGATGAAGCCCAGGCCTAGTTGAGTGATACGGACGAGCATGTCCCTGAGGAAGGGGTTGTGCTGGTAAGGTCTCCATCCGATCTCGACACCAAAGGTGGCGCTAAGAATTCTAGCGAAGTCCATCTCGCGGAAGAAATCTGGATGGTTCAGTACCCCAACAGAAGACGCCCAAGCCGGTGCTGAGCTGGTCCACACAACCAACTCTTGTCCTCTCGCCTTCGAGTTGAACAATCCGTAGTCCGGATTGCGCAGTTTGTGTGGGATTGAAAGATAGGCGATGATGTCTGGGATATTGAAACCCCAGGTAAGGCCATCATGCCAGCCAAGTCCGTTATAAGAGGTGGGAACTATGGTCCTCGAGACCCCGGTATCACTGAACATCTGAAATCGATCTCTGTGTCTGAAGTCGATAACGACATAGGTGCACAGGTTGGGGAAGGCTTGGTCTGCATTGAACGCGACAGGGAAGTAGATCGCTCTGAGGGGAATGGTAGCATCGATCCATAGCCACTGGGTATTGCTGTCCTGGATCTCCACTGGACGCAGAATGTATTTTCTGGGACCTCCTCTCTGGTGATCCCGACACTCGTTCCAGTTGAGACTGTTGGGATGACTATGGATCCTGAGCATAGGCCATGTGGACTTGTTTCTGCTCTCGCCCACCCAGAATCTGTCCCAGTCCCCGAAGCGTGTGCCTCCAATTCCGGAGGGTGTACCATGCTGCCAGCGTGACCTTGTGTGAGATCTTTGCGTTACTCCAGTCGCTGGCCAGCCGTTCCAGTAGTACTCGAGAAGAACGGTTCTATAGAACAGATTTTGGTTGTTTGCGGACCAGTGGGGACCATATCTTAGAGAGCTTCTGACGAAGTAGCATTCGCCTTCTGGGTAATATGAAGCCATTGTGGAGAGATATAATAATGGGCGCAGTTGAGGGCTATGACTGAGAGCTTATAATGACTACACAGAACTTGGAAGAAAGAATATTCTCTTGGAGCATTCTGAACCTGACATTTGAAACAGTTGGGGAAAACTGTCTTGATATAACTGTCTTCTCCCACTACAACGCCTCCGGAAACACACCAGTTTCCATTTCCAAAGCCCAGTACGACCTGTCCATGATGATCGCATCACCCGGTCTGCAGTCAAGAGCGTTTGTGGCAGTCGACAACCCCGCACATGAAGCCATTTCACATAAGCCGGGGTGGCACAACCTCTTGACCGTTATGCTGCCATACAAACTCGTCGAGAAATGAGAAATTCCATTGCAGTTTTGGGTTCATTGCAGAGAATCAAGGCATCACGATTTCGAACGGCCCGAACGTTGATTCCACCCTGATGCTGTCAAACGCACGGGATGAAGCCAATTCGTAGAGGGTTCGTGGGGTTGGAGAGTGAGGACTGCATGTCTCACTTCTCTGAGGATATTAGCGGCACTTATGATCTTGGCCGTAGTGATTTATGATGCTCAAAGCCATATCCTTTTCAGTACGAAGATACTTCCAGCTTCCTGACAGCGTGCACAGACTATAAGGATACTCCTTTGAAGGCTTTATGAACTTATCATGTATATCAGCGGAACGTGGTTGCTCACAGATATGACATCATGCTCAAGTGAGGAGCAAGGCCAACCGCCACAGTCTGAAGACAATGTCCGTCAATGTTGTAGTAAGCGTAGGGTTGAGGCTATAGGACAAAGTAAGCCGTAAGAATAAAGTTTACGCAGAGTAACGTGTTTAATAAGCAAGTGCCCTAGATAAGCGAGTGTCCTAAAAATCCCTCACCTTACATTATTACTATTTAATCAGATAATTCTTAACCACCTAATATGTTATAGTCTTTATATAAGGCTAGGATCCTTCTTGCCCTCCAGGCTCTCTAAAATGACCTAAAATTAAGTGGCCAGAAGGCTATAACTATATATTAAGTTAATTACTATACCTTAAATCGCCGCCGGCAGGGAATTCAATCAAAGCATAATATTACCACTAAATTACAGAATCTATCTGATCTTAAGGAGCAGATAATAGTTTAATTTATCCTTAACCTAGATTCGCAAGGATTTCCCCTGCGCCGTGATTTTATAGAAAAAATAGCTAATTCTCTACTTACTGACCGCAATATATTACCTGTTAATATACGCTAGGTTTATAACTTTATCTAACGGCAACTAGAGCTTAAGATATATTAATTTCAGAGATATAACTATTAGAGAGCTAAATATAAAGATCTGACTATTATTTGTAACTGGTTTTGCCTTATAGAGAATATAATTGCAAAATATAGTATTTAATTAGATAATATATAGAATTTTAATAAGACCGGCTTTATAATAGGTATAATTAAGCCCGGAATGGTTATTATAAGCTTAGAAAGGAAAGGGATGCTAAAGAAAGTCTAGCCTAGAAATTATAAATAAATTACTATAATTAAGGCAATTAATACAGAAGGTTAATTAATCCTGCCGTTTATTATTAGTTTAGGCTAATATTACCTTACTAATTAGTATTAAGAATATAACCTGCCTGGCAATTAGGTTATTATATTAAGCAAAAATAGATAGACTAATAACCAGCTAGGTCTTAAGTAGCTTAGGCATTTTAATTAGTTAATAAAGGACTAATTGTCACGGGTCAGGCTCGGGAATACAGGTGAACGGGGAACGCTTCGGGCGGGATAGATTCTATTGCTACGGATAGGCACTGCAGGCAGGTCAGGCTCTATTGACAAGACGTAGC